GTGGTTCTCCTACCACCCAAGGCCTCCCCTTGCCTTGTAGCCAGTCCGCGCTGGCATTTAGAGTGAGCCACCCTTTGTGCAGCACATGTCAGCGTCAGTGACCAGTCATCCACAGTTTGACATCTATTGTTGTTTTGTTGTTTTCTAGTGGAAATGTTCTTTCAAACAATTTCTGAACCTTCGTAGCGTGTGGAATCGAGGCCCCAGCAGAATACGAAAACATTCTGCCCAGACACGAGGGATGGACCTTCTCCTTCAACCTTTGATGGACTTGCTAGAAGCAGATAGCATTGTTGTGATAGTTTTCAAAATGGGCTGGATTAACCCAAAGACTTCGGGATGATGAAAACATGTAGTCGCTAAATGAATCCAGCAAATAATATCATAGCCGTTGGTGTACATACAAAAACCCAAAAGGATTCGTTGATTGAAGCGTTCAGATCTAAACTGGTGTCGGCTTATTCTCCATTTGTGCATCGCACCACAGGATGGTATCGAAATTTTCATTCTTCACGCAGAGTGGTTGTCGTGGTTTTCACAGGTTTTTTGTGACTTGAAGGAAGTGTTAACTTCGACCAACATAAGATAAACCTGTAAAATCCTGCTTTCAAAATATTCTCGGCAAAATTTTCTCCTCAAAAGAGCCTACATGTCCGAAAGTAAGCAGTCGAAAAAGGACGTAGAAGATGCACTGGCTGCTACAAGGAACATCACGAAGAAAAATATCGTGCCTATGAATCATGCCATGAAGTACACAAGTTCGAAGGAAGGGTTCAGACTAGTCTAAATTATCACAAGAAGTATGTGTAGTGAAACAGTTGGTAACGCTCCATTTTGCAGCTTTTATTATAGTTCTCACACATAACTTTGTTTTCTTGCCTTGCTATTGTTGAAAGCAAACAATTTTTTGTACCGCTGTGCCTCAAGATTATCTAGAAGGCCGTTGACATCGCTGTTACTTGATAGCGGCAAAAAATCCAAAACTGGTTGGAAACACTAAACATACTCCGTTACAGGTCCCACGCAGTCCCTAAGCACGATATGAGGTGGCCCGCCGGCGGCCCACGCGGTTGTCAATTTGTTAATTTTCAGAAATCTTCTGACTTGAGTGGGGTAGGGACGTGCCAAAGGGGCTTCTCAATCTTTGACGAATACAATGGGATAACTGATAAATGTTGTAAGCTTGTGTTCGAGTGTAACTACCTGTCTGTGAAGCTTTTCCTTCGTCGAAGTGGATTGTCTTTGCCGACCACCATGTCCAACATACGATGCTTAAATTGCCCAGCATTCCTTGTCTCTGAGACTTTCGCTTGCAGCTGAAAAATGCCTCTGGTCAGAAAGCAACGAAATCACCAACTTCATCAATCAATCCTACACAAAATATAATCAAAACTGATATCCGCAAAGGCCAAGGAGCAGGCTGACTGGTTTTTTCATCTATTTACATCTCGCACAGATCAACAAGACCTTTTTCTCGAGTCTCGCTAATAGAAGGTGAATGAGCAAAAGGAGAGAAGGGGATGATCCCTCCTTCCTTTCTACGGAATTTCTACCCTCGCCTCATTATCTCACTATCTGCTGTGATATGCAATCCATTTTTGATCCTTCAACACTATTCAACTCATAGATGCCCTCCAATTTTGACCATTCGTGCTGAGAAATGAGCCATGCATTCGGTATTTGCTGAAAATCGTAACGGTACCTATATGTGGCCCATAGAATAATCAGATGTATCAGTGATGAAGATGTATCAGTTAGTTGACTCATTACGAGACTATCACTAATGGACTGAGTGAGTTCACAAGGGTAGAGGGCGTCGTTCATTCGGGAAAATCAACCAGTATTTCGACCCAAGAACAATAAATCAAGAAGTTGGATCCATTCCACCCTACCCGATTAGTGGCATCCTAGAAAAGATCTTTATAACACCAAAAATATTTGTGTCGAAATTGTTCGAAAAAAAAAGTGCCAGTTTCACTGATTGACTATTAAAATGACCGAATACTGCTATTAGATCACCTGCTGCAAGTTTTTGAACGAATTATGGATACTTGTTTGATCCGTAGCTGTTCGATTGTTTGCTACCCTCCAAATCGATCCGAGCATTTTGGTCAGCACCTGCAATGTTGATTTATCAAGATTTCTTTTCAATTTTGGTAACTCATATTCAATTTTTTGAGCCCTGAAGAGCTTTTTGGTCAAGATGAGTCGGTACGAAGGGCTCTACTGTCCCTAAAACTAAAACGATAGAGAGCAGAGCTCGCGGAACACCGTCCTTGCAAGCCTGTAACAGATGGCTGGTATCGTGGGACCCGGTTAACTCCAATATTTTGCACAACACAACTATCCTGGTGCTCCCACTTTCCCCCTCTACATCCTTCCAGAAAAAGACATTCCTTTGGCTTAACACCCTGGCTAAAGAAGCTCCAAGCCTGCGGGCCGGTGTCCCATCCATCTCGGCGGCAGATGCTCAGTGTTAGAAGCGTAGAACACAGGGAAATGTCCACTCTGAGTAAGATTTCATCCGCTTTCTGAACAATCAACTACGGGACTTCTCTAAAACCACTTCACTAACCTTCACAGGTGTTTTATTCGGAGTTACAAGAGATGGTATGGATTTCATATTGATCGGTCTAAACGGTGAATCCATACGATCAATTCGCTTCGCCTCGTCAATCATTTCGTTCTAAATGTCCTGAGTGTCATTTATACCTACAAGTAGAATATTCCATTTCAATTCATGTCTTTTTTAGCCTTTTTCAGACTCTCTCAAAGTTCAAGAAGATTAACAGCTGCTGCTGAAGTCGCTTAGGACTTGCCATGTACTTGCTTTTTGTAGGTATTATCGAACTACTTGATAGCTTTTGGTCTATACAACGGTGTATTACGTAAAGAAACATGGAATATTGTAAAATCCAATGTTCACTTACGATTGATCTTCATTTTGTTTGGAAATCAAAAAAGAGATTGCGAAAGCCAACGATTCTGGGTTCAGGTCGAAAAAACAGAAATGAACTTCTAGAAATGCCAGAATGGCGTCGAGTGCTGCGGTGACTTACGTTTTGGTAGAGCGACAATACATTCCTCTTTGTCCGTCTTATCGTTCGATTACGTTTTCTCTTTTTGAGTAATACTGTCTTCAACCTCGATTGCTTTACAGTATCTCGTTGTCTTGAATTCCTGGAAAGCTTTGGTAGCCTTTTCAAAGAAAGAGTAACTAACATAATGGTCAATGAGTGTTGAAGTGAACGTTCAAGGAGTCAGTAGCAATGGTATTGTTAGAAAAATGAATGGGCGCTATCCCTGGTGAGAACAAAGTCAAGTTCGAAACGTGGCTCTAAGCATTTGCTTTGTCCTACTCCTCTTGAAAAGCGATGAACAGGTACTCCTCCAGAAAGGAAATTTTTCGCTCAGTAATCGCTTAAACAGATCATCTCTCGACTGACCGAATGAGTCTTTCAGTTTACTCAACTTCCAACAGTAAACAGGACAAGGGCATTTCTTAGTACAGAGTGTAATCGTTGATCTGGAAACTCAATGAGCCATTTCAGATCTTTCAGAGAAAGGTTCTTTCAACAAAACATTTCTTCTCAATCGGATCAGAATACTTTTTATGTGAGAGTTTTTTTTGTATGTGATGCCTTAAGTTGAATTCAATATACAACTACATCTTGACTCTTGTAATGGACCAAAATTTTTGTCCTGATTGCAACTTCTATGTCTTGCCGTCAAAAACTTTCCCATGGCGGATGCATGCAACGTGTTTTGATTCAAAATAGAACGACTTTAGCGTTCACATTCCCAGGGTGTACAGCCTGGCTAACCGAAACCTTGTTACAACAGTGACGTTTTTATTGATCCACCAAAAAAATGGGCGGAGATAGCGTAGTGGCAAGCTTGTCAGGAAGGATAAAAGCACTGACTCGTACCTGGGCTCGAGCTCGCACGTCATTGTACAGGCCACTTCCGCACTCAAAACGCCCCTGCGATTCTGAAGGAATTCGAATTTGGGGCCCATTCTTCCAGATCATTTAACCTAACTTTGTCAAAGACAGCTGCTAAGCTTGAAGTTTCAGCTAACAAGTTTGGATAGAAGGGTCGAAGATGTTAGAGAAGAATTCTGACTTCTGACAGAAAATACTCTATCTTTTCCTCCCCCCTCAAATCGGTCGAATTGCATGAGAACTGTGTTCGTTGAAATTTACATATGTTCTCTCACAGACTTCACCAGAGGGTGTTCCAGAGTTGTCTTGGGTGTTCACATCCCAGGCGAGAGAATTGTTCATGATTTACAATGTTGCAAAGCTTTATGACTGTTCACGGGGGAAGCTGTAAAAGCGTGATGGGTGCGGCAACAAGTTGTGTGCAATGCGAAATTCCAAGTTGCCTCTCAAGCATCCAAAACGACAGCAAGCCCTTACCTTCTGTTAGCAGTTTTGCAAAAAATGTACAGAAACGGTATCCGTCTGGTCCAGTCAACCTTCCAATCATAGGAAAGAAGTGGGAATTGGATAGGCTTTTTTCTGAGCCCAATTTCTTTGGCAAACAGAGATGACTCACAGAACAAATAGGAGGAACCTTCTGTCCTTTTACATGATATATCACCTTTGTGAAAGGCAAATTTCGTATAACTGGGTCTCCGATGAGTTGATCCAACCAAGACACTGCTGATTTAGTTTTCCATCACAACAAAATCGAGAAATCGAGGACAAACCTAGCTCTTTTCAAAGACGTTTTCCTCAATATCTTTGGTGGTTTCTTGACAAAATTCAGCTTCAACAATCTGGCCGCTCTCGTTTTGGCGAAGTCTTTGACGGCTTTACGGATCAGCTTCTTCTTCCTCGTGACAGCCGGTCTTTTCAGATTTTTATCCACAAAATCATATTGGCGACGATGGAGAGCATACGGATACGACTTCACCTAAATGATTTTTTCTGATAGAAAAGTTCTAAGATCTTTTGGCTACAGTACTCACCAGCTGTTTATCGAAAGCTTTAACAAGACATTTGGCACCCGATTGCAAGTCGTGCTCTTTGTCAATGTTATCCAAGCAGGCCACGAAAGCGCGGCGGTTATTTCTAGAAGGAAAAATTTCAATAACGAAAAGCATAATCTTGGAAGAGTAGAAGCCCAGGGGTTTATACTTATTTGGCAATTGAAAAGTTTTTGTGAGAAGTTGTCCAAAGAAATTCAATGAAGGCGTCTGGGTACCTCATGAGCTCTGAACATTCGTAGCGAATGTGGCGCCTGCCAATATGGAGCAGAGAGATTGGGCAGAAAGCGGAAAAGAAAGAGGAAGTAGTTAATCTAAACTGCTTTACTGTTTCTTTTCTTTGCATAATACGCATAACCCAGAATGAAGGGTAGGTGTCGGAAGCTTATTGGGCCCTACAAACCCAGTGGCTTCACAAATCTACTACAAATCATATGGAAATATCCAAAATGGTATATTACGTATAGCTATCCTTTCGAAATGTTCCGGAATGACGTGGATGGATCAGATGATTTTGAAAATTAATTGAAAAAATTAAAAAAACATTCAATAATTTCCTTCAGTGATATGATGTCGAAAAACTGTCATAGTAAACCTCAACAGTCTCTGAATTTTTAAGATTTAACTAATAAATAGCATACCGATCCATTTTCATGTACTGCTCTTTTCCAATTGCTCCAAGTAATGCGCTGACTGCTTGAATATACCAACCATAATGAAGTTGATGAATTCTTTTAAGCTCTTCTTTGGTCATTGCCACCTTTTTCATGCTTTCCACTTTGCTGGGTGACACGGTCGATGTCACATAGTTTACTGTAAGTACTGAAAAAACAACCGACTATGTAATAGACAAAGCGAAAATCTTGCCTTATCAATTTGCACAAAAGAGAAAAAAATTAAGGAGCTGGCAGAATTCGGTAGGCTATCTTTATTTACCTTCTATATAATATGCTAGAGAAAAGAAGTGAGGATTCAGTAGGCTATTTTAATCCGGGAAAAGTCAGGCTTGCCTTTTCCAATCGGCATCGAGTTGACTATCAATTTAATTGAGAATTACAAAGGTTTACAAAGGTTCAAAGGTGTAGTCCAAGGTAATTTAGAATTAAATGAATCAATCAGTCACACGTAGTCTCTGGAACTGACCTGAACTCCCAAAGGAACTTTACCAAAAACCCCTCACCTCCACCTCAATCTGAGGATTGCCTCCAATTACTTCTAAAATAGCTTTAGTCGTAAACAACACCTACCATTTAATAGTGCTAAGTAGAGAAAACTTCCATGTTGGGTAAGCATAGCTGCCGGGACGCTAACGTAAGCCATGGGCGGACAAGGATATAAGACGAATTTGTAAGGGGTTCCTGTTGATCTTGAATCGACATCCCTTGAAGGCGGAACATCCCACACGTCGTCGGCTGTTTCATTTTGGCGAGGGATCAAGCGTTAAGAGGAGATGGTCAGCCAGCGAAGCCCCTCATATCGGAAGGCGGTCGTTCATTCGGTGGTTACTAATGAATTCATCCCATTGTATCATGTGAACTACAGTACTCCGTTTTACGGTAAACACCGAGTGTGCGACAGCTCGAAGAAGGCACCGGAGATATTTTCACCATAGAAGACATTGAAGGTAGCGCTAACAATAAGGATGTCCTCTGACGTCCCAAATTTCCGAATGTTTGTCTAGATGAATGAGGCGTTGCTCTTCAATCTAGAAAATTAAGAGAATGAATTCAGCCTGGCCAAAAAGAGTTTTGTTTTCGGTTGGTTGCTCTTACTGTATTAGGCTGGACCTTGAAGCGCTATAATATATATCCTTCGTCCACTGAGGGCCCACTGTTTAAGGGACTAGTTCATCTTGAATGGATTGGAGAACTCCGATTGTGAAAAGTATACCCAAAAAACCTGACCCGATAAGCTTCTTTTTGGTCTTTTGGGAATCTTCCAGTTCTGGAGCTAAGCAGCTAAGTGAGCTCAGAGAACTTTAGCTGTCTTTTGAGAATAAGGTTGTTAGTAATCGGCACAGTAGGCTAATTTGAATGAAAAAAACTTGCAGCAGTGCTATTCCCGTAGCCGTAAAATTGATCAGTAATGATACGGTCATTAATGAGAGGTCTACGTCGGGCTAGATGTCCTTTGTCTCGCTTAACTTTCTAACGGGCACTATCACACACAGTCGTAAACGCACAATGATACATAAATGATGCGATGTGACCGTTCAAACACCGGTGAAAAATGATCACATTTAGATAGATCAGATGATAAAAGGATCCGCTGTGCACCTCCCTTTCGCTCTGATCTCTGGTTTGATTCGAACAAAATTGTAATTTGTATACAGTTTAATGTTAGTAGCAGTAGGGCCAGAGGCCCAGGAACAGAGAAAAGACAGAATTGGCCATTCAGCGCCTATCCACTATTACAAATACTACTTACTAACGGCAGAAGTCCTCTATATACACCATTTACCCCTAGAATTGTAGTTCTACACAAAAGCTCAATGGACTGCTAATATGAGCCGAAGGTTTACTATAGTATATCAAATGATGATTTTTCCTTGCTAACCATCGGGAAGAACGGATGATCACATGTTAGCCTGGGAAGGACCAAAACTGGACACGATCCACGTATCAAAAACACAGTAGCAGAGTCACTTGTGGGTAATTGTGCTTGGACGATACAAAATCCGCTGCTGGATTGATAGTGAGGTCTTGGAGTGGTGTGAGTTCAGCCTACATGAATTATAGGTCTCTAAAAATTATAGGCTTCTACAGGCCTCAGAGTGTTCTGTTGACTTCAAAGTGTATTGTCGGTGGTAAGGTACGCATGATCCATGGGGTTATTCGAGAGGAAAGATTTTTACCCATCAAAAATTTGTGTTATTACCAAAGTTGCAAAGTGGTTTGCATATGATTTTAGTTGTTTGGATGGGTGTAATTTAGAAAGGCAATTCCAGCATATGAGCTCTAGTGGTCGCACCTTCCACCGTATAACGATAGCCGCAGCGATCACCTATAAACATGGGCGATGTCACAAATGACAGTTGGATTCCAATTTTCGGACGGACTCACACGCCATAAAAGTGAACACCATCGGATATGCGATAGCTAGTCTTAACGATTCGAATGTAAAAAGGGACAAGATGAAGTTGAAATACGAAATTAACTCAGATGGACGTGGGCTAGCTAGAAATAGTACTCCTTTTCCAGTACAGTAGTGCCGACGAATCGACTTCCTGGTCTGTAGCCTTTTACCCATCAGAGGTCCACCATTGGACTGGAGACATTCTCTAGGAGCTGATATTACTAGCTCATTGTCAATCACGCTCTCAAATACGACCCGCCAATTCAATTCCGAACAAATGTAGAGTGAAGACTGATCGCAGGAAGCAGCAGGGCCTCCTCTTCCAACTTTTCAGGGCAACGCAGAATCATTCGCTAACCTTGGACTGTCGTTTTACAAATTTTAGAAGCTACGAATGAAAAGGTTTCACAATCCGGCAGGTGAAGCGAAGCTGCTTTCTGGGACCAGTGAAGAGGAGAATCGAAGTATGCTTCGAGTCGAAATACTCCCCTCAAGCTCCACAACGGCGAGGCTCTTTCCCTACATCCCAAAATCACTAACTGATACCAAGACATTCAAAAAAAGCGATGGTTCCTAGAACAGACATCAATACCTCAGTCAAACAAGTATAAGGCACATTAGAACAGAGGAATATCAATAGTCATTGTAATGTAGAGCCCGATTATGACTTGCCTTGGTGAATCCTGTGCTATTGCCAACATATTCCTGATGAAGTGTGATAAAGTGATAATACTAGCTATCCAAGAACGTCAACAACAAATAATGTTCAGTTCTCAATTGCCGCTTGCACGATGCTACCGCTGAAGACTCCATCAGCACATTCGATAAAGTCCGTCAAAACAGCGGTGAGTGCCTCACAATACTCGGGAGGGAAACTTTGACCATCGAAACCCTGAGCGCAGCTGTGGGCGGCTGCAGCTCCCACAGGTTGAAGTCGGCCTAAGAAGTTGAGCTCTCCTTGGTTAGACTCTTATCATAGCAGAAGAGGTATGGATATAGACCATTTCAACAAACAGTCCAAGATTGGAGAAAAAGTAAAGGGGGACAGAAACTATGGGAAAGTCAAACACGAAGGTTAGAGAGGGTAGGGGAGGAAGTGGTAGGAGGCGGAAGTTCTGGAAAAGTAGGCTTTACGCTTTGGATTGTCACATGAATACAGGGAACGGATGCCTATAAATATAAAACCCCGATTAAATACCTTCTCATGGACTCATGGACTTCCTTAATGCACACGAATATCCCCAGCACTAGAACTTGGCGTTCAGTTTTTCAGCAGCTCCATACGTGCGAAGGGTGGAATTGATTACCAGCTGGGCTATGCACGCTATGGCTGCTTTGATAGTTCGCCGGCGTGGCTGGCGTGCCGGCGGACTATGAAAGCAGCCTATCGCGTACACCATGCCATACCCGCCGGCTGAAGTAAAACGGATTAGTTCAGTGTAAAATCAATGAACATTCCAAAATGCATCTCTTAGTGAAGCGGTCGAAAGTGAAAGGGCTTTCTAGACAGCGACCATACGCCACTATCCCAAATAACTTTTTTTTGATCGAGCCGTCCAGCCATCATTAGCCCTAAATCACCTATCCAAGAAGATATACTGTGCGTTCCTGACCCACGTATATCTACCGTAAGCATTTCTATGACTCCAGCATCATGGCAATGAAATTTCACCTAGTTGTTCTCGTTTCGAAAGGCTATATTATGGCACAGGTCATTGCAAAGTTTTCTATTTTACAATTTTTCAGCATCCAACTACTACTCCTAAGAATAGGTCCATGGCCAAAACTCCCATGCTCCCAAATGCGTGAGTTCCGTACAAATCTCAATTGAGCCTTCTCAATGTGACACCTTGCTTTAGTAAGGTAAGCATAGGCATACAAATCAATACCCATTTCTAGTGCAGTGCACTCAGATCAGCCCCAACGGAAGAGGGAATTGTTGTGGGTTCATGCTGCTTGTTGCTGCTCAATCGAGTTTTCGTGTTGGGAGGATTGGCGGCATGGGATATGGATGACTCCTTATACGCTCAGGATGCGTATTTATTACAAGCTTGGGACACGGGGGACCTATTACGTCTGCACATTGTATAAAACGAGAAGCAGACAGACCGTCTATACATTCTAGTGTTGCGCAGATTCATTTTCCAAGCCGTATGCTACCCACCCAAGTAAGGCTTCCAGTGATTCGCTGCTCTAGAATCCGTACATTTCGAATTAAACCGCAGAACTGCGATCAGCACTAGTATCTCTAATTATGAATACACGAACTGTGGTCGAAATTCCTGAAATGGGCTGCTCTTGGTCTAAGCTGTAGACCATCTGAATGGGGATCGATTTTATTTTTGGCATCGATGGGTCGAAAAGAAGCCATCGCCTTATCGAAATCGAGGGACTGACAAAAAAATCAGGCACAATGGAGAGCGAAGAGGGCGCAGATGAAAAAGCGGGCGTCCACGGACGAGGGACCGACTGAATCGACCGAGTAGATCAACAAAGGTTAACGCAGTGACGGATCAATGAAGGCAAGATTACGATTGAGATTTTTCGGAATCTCCCCGTGAAGGGGTAGTGCTCCTTTGTAGAGCCTTTCAGAATGATTCAGGATGCACAAATTGTTTCTTGGGATAGTTAACTCGGGAAGAATAGTTCCATTCGCAATGAGCGACAGTGCTATCAAAGACTGCATACCAGGAATGCAGAGTTTTTTCAGCTGCATTTCTACAAGAAGCAAAAAATAAATAAATAAAACAAACATGACGACCATGAAAGCTCTCATCCACCACCGCCATGTTTCGGAGTAGGCCACGAGTACGTCCCCTACTGAGGATTGTAATGGTGTCTGAATGAGTACTATCCGACTCAGCACAATAAGCTAACAGAGAAGCTTAGTTGGTCTAGTCAGCTCCAAAGTAGCATTGAAGTGAGAATAAAAGAGATTTCAGAGCAAGCAGGAAATCCACGAGATCTCCACTCGTGAATGCTGATGAAGTGCTCAGTGATCGTGATGTACGTATGAAGCTCGAACCAAGTGTCATGAAAACATTGTACGTACAACTACCGTTTATACTTCTACTGGCTAGGAAGATATAAAGCCTCCTCTCGAAAACAGATTCCTCAGACCTTCTTTGACCGCCTCTTCTTTAGTCTTTACTTCCAGATTTTCCCTGAACCTAAGCTCTGGGAATCCACTTTTATCTTTTTTTTCAAGCTCTGGGAATCCACTTTTATCGACCTCGCCTTTTCTATGGTTCTCTGCTCGTCAACCTATCTTATTTGTTTCTTTGCTTCTGCTACATTATTTCTCTTTCTTTATGTCTTTTCGTCTCTCCTGTTTGCTTCACTTCTCTTTGTCTCTTGTCTTCTGCATCAATCATCTTTCATAGTCATCAAAGTTGATAGAGAAAGAGTAATATTTGCATGTTCTAATAAGGATTACCCAGTTATTGACCACTTTCCTACACTACTTCTCGTGAAAAAGAACCGTACCCATTTGTGACCCCACCTTGCCTACCCTTCCATTTCTTCATACAAAGATGTATGTGATGCTAGAACTGAATGAGCGACTAGCAGTGTTCACGAACCTTATTTTCAGAGTGAGGAAAACAACTGAATCAGTGAGTACCGCCATGGTAAGTTTGAACTCCCACTTAGATATGCTCCCGGAGTGGTCGAAATCAGCAAGTTCCAATTGGAACATAGTCAGGATCCAAAGCGAATTCTCACAAAAGCTTGCTGAAGTTGAGAGACCCCGATAGTGGAGCCCTGAGGTGGTGTAGGGGGACGGTACATACATGCGATTCGAACTGCGCGCGGCAAATAGCGCGACGAAATTCATAACGATTTTGACGACTTTAGCGCCCATCATTGGGGCCCAAATTTCAACTAGAGTAAATCAGTGGGTTTAGCTGACCCCACTGATTTACTCTACTTTACGTTTGTGCCTCAATAATAGGCGCCAGAGTCGTTCGAATCGGCACGAATTTCGCCCTCCACGAATGTACACACACCCGGTGGTGCACGTGCGTAAAGGAGGAGCGCCCAGGTCTTACAACTAGTCCAAGGAGTTCATGAGTGTATACATGCGCCCAGGCGTCTTCGATCTCTTGAAATGGGTATCTGCCTCAGTGATAGACTATACCCGAACCTGGATGATAGTACGCGAAGCACGAAGCACCGTTTTGTCTGGGTTCCTGAATCGTGACCAGCCCAGTCAGCGGTAAGCGTGCTCTGTCCATGCCTGGAGAATCGCTAGCTGCACTGCCCAATCGGCAATTTTCAAGCCGTGTTTCGACTCGAGGAACCCAATTTTGCCATCAAATTTAACAGTATAGCATCTGTATCGAGTATAAACGGATGTCATCGCAATTTCGCGGCTGACGGCCATTTTTGAGCGATGTCGCGTGCTACTTCCGTGTTGCCAATGAATCGGCTAGTAATTCTTTTCAACCAATGAGGCCTGTTGAGTGAAGACTATGTTTTTTCAAAATTCAGATTTTTCAGACAGTGCCGAAGACTCCAGGAGGCCGGACGATCGTTAGTTATTCAGTCCACTTTGTACTACCTGCCCATCGAATCCTATCGCGCTTTCTGTCGGTGTTACACCTTTCGAGACTCCCAGTCTTCAGTAATTCACCTATATCCAAATCTACTAATATTTTAGCATGTATCACTGTCTATCTGCCTTTCTTTCAGCTTCTTCGTGGATTCACTCATTCTCGAGCTCCTTCGCTTGCCAATCTAACTGCCGCCTGCGCGCTCGCTATGTTTGCGCGATCATGTATCTAGTTGACTAAATCTTATGCACTGTGGCCTTTCCTGATCGTTCCAGGACCCCATAAGTATACCTGGCTAGTAAATATGAATTTTAGAAGTTAAGAGCACAACAAAAGACCCAAATGCAACATCCTCAAGCACGTACGCTACTCAAATCTATTGAGTACATGGATTATCCGGAATTTCTCGACAAGCACTACAATCAAATCGAACCTGGAGTTAGCGATTTGAAAAAAGTTTGATCTGGAGTGTCAGGATCAAGTAAACCCCCATTCAGATCCATAAGATCGAATATACTATGGCAGAATATCGAACAGTAATTCAAGATGCAAACTTGCTTTTATCATGTAAGTGGTTGACAATGGTCTCTAGCCCCATCTGAAGGGGTCTTAGCCTGGAACCCTCAGATAGGGCAAAGCCATTCTTCTATTCTCTAACCATGTAAACATCGTGTCAATAGCTTCTATACATGGTCATTTTAGCAGAGAAAACATTGATCGACGTCGATCCACCGGTGATCATAGTCGGCGATATTCATGGCCAGTTCAATGACCTAATCAATATGTTTCTTCTTATCGGACGACCACCAGAAAAACGATACCTGTTCCTCGGTAAGGCACCATTTCTCGGTGACCGGAGGACTGAAGAAAAGCGTAATCTCTAAAGCCTGATAGGGAGCTATACACCACTTTCTGTGTGTAGACTGTTTCTGATGGGCGATGTCCTTGGCAGATTTTGAATGATCCGAAGAGCTAAATAGGAATTTAAAGATGAAAGCATTCCATAGAAAAAAATTTTCAAAGTTTCAGGTGACTATGTTGATAGGGGTATGATGTCGATAGAATGTATCATGCTTCTTCTTGCATATAAAGTAAGCTCATGTTTTTTTTCTTCTATAATTGACAAGTTCTTTCTTTGGATTGCCTTCAGCTAGATAAACATACCTGTCTGGTTTGGTTCTCTACTAGCTTTAAGTTACCAGCCTTACATGGCCTCTCAATACCTTCAGAGCTTCCAGATCTGGGGGCCTAAGTAGAAACCTCAGTCACTCACCTTTCAACTACACTCTCGGTTAACAAACCAACCATTTCATGCACGGCGTAGGAACGCATTGTTTCCGATACTATCTAGGACGGTCATGTCACATGAATATCTCATTTCAAGTACATCGCCGTGACATACACTGCTTCTGTGCAACGGTCATTTAAGTGCCTATCATTCAGGTCTGTTACCCGTCTTCCGTCTACCTTCTTCGTGGAAATCACGAATGTGCTCGGGTCAACAGAAAATACGGTTTTTGGAATGAATGCCTCATGCATCTGGGTGAAAACGGTGAAACTATATGGGCAATGTTCCAGGTGACTCTTCCTCCCTCATCAGGCCATTACAGGATGTTGAGGTCCATGATGTCCGAACAAACAAATTCAGAGATGCTTCAACAATCTACCAGTGTCGGCTTTGGTAGCTACGAAAATTCTTTGTATGCATGGTGGCCTGTCACCGAGTTTGGACTCTTTAGACGTGGGTTACATCGATTTATATTTGGAATTAATGCTCTTTTTTACAAAAGAAAAATTAATAGACGTTGGACCGAAAGACAACAATCCCTGCCTTTGAACTATGAAACTATGAATTTCTAGCCGTATCATAGAAGCATTTCCCTGCTACTTCCCCGTCGAGCACTCAGCGAACGCGCAAAACTGCCAAGCGATCTAATCGATTACCGATCGATAATCGCTGCGCAGAGCTTGGGAGCAATTGCCCGACGAATTGAGGATTGCCATTTCAGGATGTCCGAAATACTTCGAAGCCAGTACGGAATCCATTCCGTGGAGTGATCAACGACATGTTGTGGGCCGATCCCGATTTGAACATTTTGGATTGGCGTACGAGCAGCCGTGGCTCAGGATTTGCTTTCGGATCACATGTCCGTTCTCAAAACAATATTTCTTCTTAATTTCAAATTACATAAATTCGGTAAAAAGGGTAAGGGTAAAAATTGAGTTGGAGGTGGACCACAAGCGGGGAAGTGATGTTTTTTGCCTGAGCTTAAAGGGAGGGGTATTTACCTAGCATGTGTATGCTTGAAATTTATGTTTTAGGTAATTGACGATTTCTGTGAACGCTTTGGGGTGGAACTCATTGTTCGTGCACATCAGGTGAGAATAGTTGAAGTGAAGGAACGAGCTCAAATAATGAAATTTTGGAAGCTTCTGAATTACTGACTCCAAGAACGAGATCATAAAGAACAGTAAACTTCCCCCAATGCCACCAGAAAATGTTTGCTTTCCCTAAGAGTTTAGTTTCAGATGTGTCTTGATGGTTTTTGGGTGACACCCAATCGAAAGCTTCTTACACTTTTCTCTGCTCCTATGTACTGTAATTTGTACAGGTGGCCCTTGTGTTTTCTATTTATGTCCAGAACGACTACCATGAGTTTATGAGGTGGTCCTGTTTAGGAATGCCGGAACCGTACTTGAAGTGGATGATCAACTACATTGCAAACTCATCTCAATGATGCCAGAATCGGTACGATCGTTTTGCCGTTTGTAAGTTGGGCATGCGGGGTCATAAATTCATCAGGTGTAGGGCTTTCTGCCCGAACGGCGGGCAGCGTTTACCTCGTCCAGTTGCGCGCTAAGAGATTTGAACTTCAGAACAAGTGGAAGATTACGATAATAGCCGCGAAATCTCTAAGCTTCCAGTGGGAACCAGGTAGAAATGCAGCCACCCGAGTTCGGATATTAAGCGACCCTGTGACTCCATATTTTAGCTCCCAAGCAAGTAGCTCCAGGGCTGCTCCTTAATTGGGAAATCTCAAAGAGGGCCAGGTCCACTTTGGTTCAGAATGGAGGGAGGGGGGGGGGGGGGGGGGGATTTCTCTAGTCTGATTCTTCCTTAGTTTTTTTAGGTGTTGAGGGTGTCAAGGTGTTCAGACGTTAAGCTGAGTGTTTCAGCGTGGATGTCGCGAACGAGTTACGAAGCAAAATCGGCTTTGGGACGAAACTGTAGACTATATCTTCGAGAGATTGGTCTGATCATCTCCATGAACACAATTTGTTTTGCCATTTTGAGCTGAAAAGAAAAAAGCCTTACCGTATCTCTTTTCTAGGTAGCTAGTGTTAACTCGCTACTTGTTTTATAATTTTTGCGATGGATTTTTGAGTTATTTCAATAAAGTTCTTTAAAAACGTATTTTCTGTTATTTTGACATTAGTGAAGGTAGCGAATTCGAACAATCAAAAGCTAACCCATTTATGTTTTCGCCATCAGCTCGCCCTTGACCCGCAAGTTTTGGGAAAATTTTTCCCTCCAATCAAGGTCGAAAAACGTCTCTTTCCCATTAACCGACCCCGAAGGAATAGAAGGCTCGGTCGGCATGGGCGAATATCGATTCGAACCCATGACCATGTGTGTGATAGTGCGCACTTCTGTTCCTACATATTCACCCACTCGCCGAATTATGAAGTCTAAATTTTTTCAAACTTCACATTCACATACTAATCTGGCTGAAAAGCCATTGCAAGGACATGAAACCTATTGAAGCATCGAAGCTTGCATTTCCTGGCTGAAATGGACGTTCTGCAAAAGTAAAAGTCTTTGGGAGAAGAAGGGGATGACTAAATGCAAACGGGCCATTGCGTGTGCTGCACTTTGAAGACGTTATGGGCGATTTGCATTTGTTTATACTTTTCGGCTCCGGTTCTCCCTTTCCACATAGTGCTTACTTCTTGCAAAACATACAAGTTATTTTTCATCCCCATGTGACCTCCCTCCCACTAACTTTTTCGCTCTTCTCGTCGTCGTCGTCGCTCCACTCTAGCCGGTCGCATCGATTCGTCCGTTTCTCGCCCGTGGTTGTTCGTTGTTTGACTTGCAATTTTCCCTGTTTCGCATCTTCTATTTGTAATCAGCTTTGAGCGGAAACTGTTTGTTTTGTGTTGGTTTCATGGGATTTTCCTCTTGCTATTCTTAAATTTTTGAAAAATGCTTCGTGAAAATGTAGAATCGTACTTGTTACTTTTATTGAGGGTAATGTTATTTTGCAAAGTAGATTAAAATGGAGTTTGTTCTTTACCCATTTTTATTTGTTTTGTTTAATATCATTTTCAATAGCTATTTTTCATTTTTTTTTTCGTTATCGGTTTCGTAATCAATCGGGAAGAAACGGCGTAGTGCCAACTGCCGCTCATCCACACGTTTGGTAAGAGGATTCAATCTGTAGTAGATACCCGTCCAACTCAACCCCTCATCCACTTCCTCCCCCGTACCCCCGTCCTGGCCTTTTTGGAGGGTCCGTTTGTTATCATCTTTATACGTTTTCTCGGCTTACGAGAAAGCACAATGGTGGTGATGAAATGCTGCTCGTTTGCGTCAACCTCGTTAGTACGACTGGGTGTGGTCCAGTGCGATGCATAACACTGCTGGAAGTAACCGAAAGAAACTGAAATATCTGATGTCACTAGGAAATCGATTAAAATGAGTTGCCATTGCTTATTTGTCAGGGTAGGCGAAATCAGAATCTTCGGAACTAATGCACAATCAACGAGGCACATTACCTAACGTGAACTTCTGCTGAAAAAAGGCCAAGGGATCGAGGAACATTGCCTAGTCGTTTCAGCTTCCAAAGTATCGCGCTGACCGAACGCTTTTAGAGTAGACGATCGGCAGCCGGCAGCGAGGGGTGTGGTAATTTCCCGCGTCGTGCTCGCCGCACCTGATCGCGCGCTATGAATGGAAAAGTTTAAAAACCAGTGAAAGGATGCAGTAATCGCCATATATCGTTACAAGATGGCGGATTGTTCTAGAATCCGTGAATTCCCGGTCTTCCCGACTAATCGATACACACTAATGTTCGCTTATTCTCCATTGCAACGCAAAGCATAAACACTGTGATTCTACAGAGTTGTTTCTGAGGAAAATGCTTAACCACCACCTTTGGGCCATTTGTCAAACGCGGTGGAACTTTTGGGTTTTTTAGCTTTTGCATTCATATGACCGTAAGCTCCCACCTAGACTGCCCTTGAGGTACTGCCAACGAGACTTACGATAAGTAGGAATTGATTGAAATGCTAATCTTACTTGCATCATAATAACTTACTACTTCTAGCTCACGGAAGTGGTTTACCGAACTATGCAGCGATTCGATCTTGCCAGACTTTCTTGTAAATGTAACCAGGGAATAAAGATATAAGACCGATTATTGTTGAAATATCCATAGGCTATAATCAGCGCATTCGGGTTTCATGTAAAATCGGTCCCGAGCGAACCGGTTACCTTACAACCGCCTAATAAATTTGGAGTTGATGAGAGCTTCTCACTTACCGCAGGCATGGTCTCTTCCAGCGAGTTTTAGGGGAAAGAATAGCATTTCGGGATATTGACCCATCCCAGCATGTCGGAATTGACGTGGGGCCTGCGATGCCGCTAACTTGTCTTTGGGTCCTACAACGTCACTGGACTTACTGTAAGCTACAGACAATATCGGAAAGCCTTTGCAAAGAGTTAATGTGAAGGGATGTGTCGCTCAAGTTGCTGCTGTCGAAGGCGAAAGCAGGATGAACGTAAGTTTTATATTTGTGTGGTGACTTTCTGACTTTTAGGATTTATTCTTTTCTTCTGCTGCTTCATTGCAACTTCTTCTAATACTCTTTCTGTTGATTATTATTATAGAATACAAGAAATGTTTGAGCATAATCTTTTTTTTCTTTTGAACTGACATTCATTCAACTGGAACAGATGTGTTCAAGATTTGTTTTAAATTCTACATATAGGGAGTGCTGGGCGGCTGGATTTTGGAAAACATTTACAATATTGCAAAACTTTTTTTTAAAAAGTGTATGGAAAAAAGTCATTGGTCCGGATATTGATGGTATATAAGGAGAGGCTGACAAACCCTAAATGAAGATTTTCAAAAATTTCGGTGCAAAAATATGTGGCTTCCTCTTGGCGTTTAAAATAACGACCGCTCGAAATTTGGTTATCACATTCCACTGTACAGCTTAACGAAAATTCATAGAGATTATGATTGGAAACGAAGGAAGATCTTCTTACGTAAACATTTCGGTATTATATGAATTTCGTCTGGGCGGCTCGAATTTGCTACAGGGTTCAGTGAAAACGCAAGCTGATAATCTTTTGTCATCGCACTGATAGCAACCGTGACTATAGCAACTTCATACTGCTCACAATTCTGCTCGTGTTTTCTTCGAAATACGGGAAATTATTTATTTGTGTAAAGAACAATAGTTTACAATTTCAGAGATGTCTCTGGCTGGGCAAATTGCGATTGTCACTGGAGCGTCGCGAGGAATCGGTGAGGTTGTTGTGGATTTTTCGCATTATTTGTTGGAGGCATACTTTCACTTGATAACACAGAAAAATTACTTGTAAAATACCATCTTCATTGTTTGAGTCGAGTTTATGTTCGTGGAGATTACGAAAAAATCGTTAAGGTCGCGGGATCGCATTGCAGCTTGGTGAAGCCGGTGCTACAGTCTACATAACTGGGAGAAAACCTGCTCAGAGTGAATCTGCCGTAATCGATAAGCTTCCTAAGCTGGAGCAGGTTGCCAACGGTATGTTTCTATGTAATTTTCAAGGCATCGTAGATAAGGGTAAAGCCGGTTTTGATGAAGGCGTAGATATTGAATGTGTAAACAACATGCAGCCATTTTCAGAAGTAACGTCTCGAGGTGGAAGAGGAATAGCAGCCTATGTTGATCATTCTAATATGGAGGAAGTGAAGGCTTTTTTTGAAAAAGTAGAACATGATCATAATGGACAGCTGGACATACTTGTTAATAATGCATATTCCGCAGTAACGGTAAGTTAAATGCAACAGCATGTTTTACAATTTCTTCTCACCAATAGAACTATTTTAAAACTCAAAACTTTTAAGAAACAGCAGTCGTGGGGCTTGCTAAAGTATTGAATGGGTACTTGACACTTAGCGGTTATGTCACAGGGGGTAGATCGGGTTACCATGCTGAGATATAAACTCCCGATTGCTCCTTTGTTAGCTAACACCTACTCTTGTGACTTACCCACCTGTTGACCTCTTCTGTATTTAGACGATTATGGGTTCGGTAGACAAGCCATTCTACGAGTGTCCACCAGAGATGTGGGACGAAGTCAACAATGTCGGGCTAAGGCAAGTTTCCTTCTTCTCAACGTTTGTTTTTTTGCATGGTTTTGCTCTCTTATTGCTTGAATTACTACCGTGAGAGTTACAATTGAAAAGGCCCCGTTTCCCCGATCAGGAAAGTCTCTTTCGAAGCCCGATTCTTCTTTGCTGTTCGGCTTCTACACAAAGTCCTAATCAATCTATTTGATTAGTTTGAATAGAACAAATGAACCATGAAAATGAACTCTCAATAAGTGGGGCCAAAATCTCGGAAGCACACTGAAACGGAATTTAATTGCACCAAACAACACCAAGCATTTGCACCAAACAGCGCACTAATCACAAAGCTAATTTACAGCTACGGAATTTCCACTGTTTCAGAAACCACTATTTCTGTTCCGTGTATGCATCGCGAATAATGGCGAATAACCGTAGTGGCTTGATTGTTAACATCAGCTCAGCTGGCGGATTGAGGTCAGTTTTTTCACAGTTGATTTATACTTTCACCGTGCGCTTGTCATCATCAGTTCTCCTCTATTTTTCGCTACTTTCCTCATCTCCTACCTTTTTTATCACTTCGAACTCCTCCACTCACGATTAGCGGTAGTTTAACTGAAAATTTTGTGAAAGCGAGCAACAGAACGATTGATTCCTTGACAACTGTTCACTACGAAAATCACATTCCAAGTTAACACTCCAGGTACTTATTCAACGTCCCCTATGGAGTTGGAAAACAAGCATTGGATAGAATGTCAGCTGATATGGCTTTAGAATTGAAGGTGAGTTTACTAAACCTTTTTCCAGTTCTGATTGCTTTTCCTAATGCACTTTTTTGCTTCAGTCTGATTTTACAATCGGTCACCCTACGAAAAATCATTTATTTAAGCCCAAAAATGTTTGCGTCGTGTCAATTTGGCCTGGAGCTGTGAGAACGGAGCTGATAACAAACTTACTCAATACAACTCAGGCGGCGGCGATGTCAGATGAGGTATATTTGACAAATTTGTGAAGTGATACCCCTCTTTACATAATTTGGTGTCTCTATCGTTATTATAATCAGTTTATCCCTTGTGATATGGCATAAAATGAGCTATTTCAGCATGTTTCGGTGTTCAGAGAAGGAGAGACACCTGAATATCCAGGAAAAGCAGTAGTAGCTCTAGCGTGTGACGATAGAAGGATGGAGAAGACCGGACGAATTTTGATCACAGCAGATATGGGGAATGAATATGGATTCCGGGATATTGATGGTACATATAGAAGTTCTTGTCTACTCTTGGGTTTGACATTGCCCTAGTGAAGTTTTCACACCAAGCAAGTTGCCTTTTAGGTCGCGATCCACCGAATATGAGAAGTCTGTCATTCCTACTTTCTCATAGTGGATACAAACAGACTGCTGAGTTGATACCGTCATGGGTGAAAGTACCTGGTTGGCTGTTATGGGGAGCTACAAGCCGATTGTAAAAAAATCTGATATGTTAATAAGAAAGGGTGTTTTTTCTTTGTTCGAATTTTCGTTCGCTAATTGCCTACTTAAACAATATTGAGATTATCAAACATGTAGCTATGCTCCTACTATTGCTATCACACGTCACTTTTCTTCAATAGCTACTATCTCAGCTTTTTGTAAAATTCCATGTTTTATTTTTATGCTGTAAGTTTGCCTGATTTCTCACTTTCATTGCATGCCTTTCTACTTGACTTTGAGATTGTAAATAAAGAAAATGAGTTATGTTAACGAATGTTCATTCATATTGATGGTTTCTCAGACCGTTTAAATAAGTTACCGATTAAAGAAAGCTGTCTTAGACTGCACTTCGAAACACCCACTATGATGGAAATGGAAAGGGGAGAGAGGAAAAAGGAGCGGAATAATTAACATTTGTCGTGTAAGAGTAACCATTTCCACGTGACTCCTTCGAATTACATCATGCCTTGAAAGTGAAAAGCTGCGCCGTAATAAAATTCTTATTTAGGATATTTATTTTTTTCAGGAGGATATGTATTTCCTCCGAGTGCTTATACAAAAAAACGTTGGTATAATAACAGAAAAGTGATGCAGTATATTTTATTGACGCTAAATTTACAGTTGTTTAAAGTACTGTGAGGGTAACTGTGTTACATGAAGCGATAGCATGTTAGCGAAAAATCCAAACGAACACATGAAAGAGTAATTAAACCCATGTGCTAATCAAAAATCACAAACATATTTGGCAACAGAACTCTGAAGTGTTCTCTCCTAGGGAGACCACAAGTAACTGTGGGCTAATAATTTTACATACCCAAACAACCGCACTAAAAGAATCAAATTAACTATCACAGAAATGAAATGCACATCAAATTGAACTATTCGAACAAACGATTAGTAGCAAGAAAACAACTTGAAGGTTAAAAACCATTCTAGTTCTAGTTTTCTAGAAGATTTACCAGTATTGTGTTAGTTTCAGGTTTTGGCGATGATTCGTCATTTCCCACTATACTATTCATATGTAAATTAAACAAACATTTTTATGGAAAGCGAGTGGTGAAGGGTGAAACATCCCTCGATTTTTCAAGTATCCAGCAATTTTGCGAGGCCAAAAGCAGGGCCTAATGCTAATTCCCCACAAAATCCTCATGACTTGAAGTGCGAAAACATGTACGACCTGCGAGCTTGGAGTATGAACAGTCCTAGACCGTGAACTACGAGGTTGATGATCGTGAATCCAGGCCATGCATTGCTACTATTTCACGCGTAAGATTGTTGATATGGCGAAAACGATCGGGGCCTAGATGAATGCCTCCATACCAGCGCGAAACAATCACCTGACATTTTTATCCTAAGTGTTGTAAATAGTAGGGAAAATTTCGTAGCAACATACCAAAACATTGGTGGCATTCATTTTCTCCAAAAGTTCTAGCATTTTCGAGCTTGCTCCAGTTTCTCCATCGTCAAAGCAGTCGTGCAATCTGAACTTCTGAGATATAAAATACGCTAACGTCACGACACAGGTCATTGGCATCGGAATGCGCCATCTTTTCAGACTGCGATATCGAAAAATGCTATTTTTAATGCAAAAAGAAAGTTTGAGAAATAATTCAAATCACAGTCATTAAAGGAAGGGAATTCAGATGCCACTTCCCCTTTTTGTTGATCCATTGATATTCCTTTCAATAAGTTTTATGAGGGAATTTGTAATCTTCAGAAAATTTTTTGGAAAAAGGAGGTATAAGCATCGGGCGTTTTCTTACTTCAATGCATATATTTTTCGTTCTAGTCCACAAGATTCAGGGCAAAGACAATTCAAAGAACCCCGCCGTAAAGCAAATCATTCCGACAAAGCGATTCTTTGGGCAGTGAGCTTAGTCTTGAAACAAACAAATAACTACCTTATCTCACGTCCATTTCGAACCTCAGTGATCCGATAAGCATACATATTGTGAGTTGCACGACTAATCTTCGAATTTTCTAGCAAACGGTCAAGGACCAGCTTAACCTGAACTTGTAAAAATGAGATATCGCTCGATGGCCTTCAGAGACTTTTTTGCTGCTATTACGCCAAGCGCTTACCTCCTCCTTACTGTTGACTCTGGCGAGATGAGCTTGAAAATGACTTTTACGATCTGTAAGCACTTCACCATGGTAAATAGTTGGAACGTCTTCGATAGGAGTAGCAAGAGACAGCACAAGTTGTTCCGAGACTTCATCCTGTCTTTCATCTTCAACGATCGTACTTTTTGCTCGTGCATTCTGAAAAAAACATTACATAACTTCAGTATTCCTTCTTCATTATTCTTCAAAAATCAACTCAACTGTTTCAAAGCAGCATACTTCGTTTAATAAAGGAAACAAAGAAAAAGCGAACTCTTTAGAGGCACTTACCTCGAGGAATTCCTTTATTACTGTTATCCACGCATAGATAATGGGGCATCCCAAATTTTCGAGATATGTCTCGTTTAATGCACTTTCTAATTGATAACGATCATTCCTTGTCAATGAAGGTCCGCTCAACTCGTACAATGGCGGCTCCCTGAAAAATGCAAAACACTGTACAAACATAATGTTTAAGAGTTTCCCATCCATCCAAAGCTTTAGATGCGAAAAAATACAGATTATTTAGGTTGGTAAGCAAGGACGTGTAATAAAAACGACAATTAGTACGGGCACTCGGCTCTTACAGTAATCCGGTACGACATAACCCCATTTTAAAACGCAAATTGTCACCCGTCACATATGCGACGCGTCAAAAGAGGACCTGAGCAAGGACCGTTGCGAAGGGTCCTGAGGTGCCTGCGAGGATTACGGTAGAAAACATGTTTTGCGGCATGAGGTCATTTCAAAATGCAGTTCCTCCTCTTTTCACCCATACTACTGCCACATCGAAAAATTGTCATCGTCAAGTACAGATGGACTGGTGAGGTTGTTGATTGGTTCTGTTCTGTCATAGCTAGGAGTTCGAGGCAGAACCTACAGCCTATAACGGTGAGAATGACCTGCCTCGGCATGCAGTATCTTACTTAGTTCGTTTTTTTCCTCTTAACCATCTCACAGTTATATTAGACACCATGGGCGTCAAGCGATTTCATTAGAGGATCCAAGATTAGGACTGCGATCGATAAAGATTTACGGTTCACAAGTCCTGCGCCAGTACCCGGTCAATAATCATTTTTAGTAGTACTAAGTTCTTTTATTCGTGCTATTTGGAGTCGGAGTACTCAGATATAAGGATCAGGTTCTTCACAAATTTCGTACATCGTTCCTCTCCCTTCCCTTCTAGCCAACTGAAAACTCACGTTAGTTACTATTCGTATATGATAATTTTCAAATGAAACTCTCGAACTCACTTCGAAGGGTAGTTTTCTGGGAGTTTCACTGATAGTCTTACGTCATCATCGAAACTGATTCGTATTTTGTTCTCGGATTCAAAAGCGATGAGATCCCCAAATATGGACTCCAGAATTTCCAGCTCATCTCGTTGTGCTTCTAAATCTCCCATAAAGGGGAGAAAGCGTCTGAAAGTACCATTGCATTATAAAGATAGATAAATTCTTGTAATGATTCCAAAGATAATTTGTAATCGGTCTTGTTAAAGAGGGGCACAACTCCACGAAGTAAAGTTTCATCAATCTTTTGAAAGAGAGGCTTAGTTTTATTTCTAGAACATGAATCGTAGAACTTATTGGATACGATGAAAACGTAGTATAACCTCATAATAAAATATAAGCAGAAGATCGATAACGTGGAGATCAGGGCTCTCGACCTGATCTACAATGCTGGATGTAGATCTTGGCTCTTCCCCCCCCCCCCCCCCCCCCCCCCCCCCCCTCCCCCATCCCCTAAAATTCCCCTTTTGATTGACTTTGGCGACTGCGTCAATCATTGCAGTAACACCAACATTCACGATTTCATGAACCTAATGGTATCACTCGGGTTGACGCAAAAACCCCACGTGGGTGATCGGAAAGTTTGGATGTCGGTCACGTACGACTCCCAGAGAAAAACAATTGGCGCCAATAGGTCCTTTAAGGAGATGTCATGGACATTTCTGCATCGTGCCGCCGTATTCACAATGTATGCGATGCAGAGCAAGTGGGAGCTGATTTCCCTGCCTTCATGCTCCCAATTGTCAACTACGTCCGTACTGCGTACAAGGTATGTGCCTGCTCAATACAGCGGTGTAACGCAGGTGTTGATTTGAAATCTGTTGCCGCATAATCTTTCGAAATCTGGACGCCTCTGTCGTCATACTGTCCTTATTCTACCGTTAGCGTTCTCTTCTTCGTCAGGCTGCTCGCCTTTTATGATTACTCTTGAATGAAGTCTTTAGTTCTACTAGTTTCCTCATCTTAATTGCTCATTTTTCACTTATAGTTCAAGATTAGAAATAAAATATACAACTACGGAACATCCAGAGCACTTCTGAGGTTTCATAAAGATGGATACAACTCTTTTCCTTTTCAGGTAGCTTGAATGGCGACCCCAGAAGTGGAAGTACTGTGTTCTGAGGACGCTGGTGATGTTGCCCCAAAAGAAGTTCGTAAACACCGACGCCGTTCGGAAAGGAGTAGTACTGAGGAAGCGGCGTCCGATAAAGGTGACGTAGGATTCAAGTCCACCAGATGCCATGCGCCACAAACTGAAGCACCGAAGAAAAATAATATTTTCAAAAAGAAGTGCCGTTCTGATTGTGGGAAGCGTAGCGTTGGATTTACAAAGAGTCATTCTGAAGAAGGGAAACAGGCGAATTCAGACCTCGTTGGAGAGGTACCGGTGCAGAAAGTTCGGAGTAATTCACAGAACTGTGCACCCCTGAGAAAACAGCAGCAACAGCACCAGCAGAGAGCACTCCTTACAAATGGGTATCGTTTTTTTCTGTTGGAATAGTCGACAGGAATACAAAATTCTTCTTAAGGATCCCGAATCAGAAGCAAAGCACAACAGCTCGCTCTGGAGGCAAGACCTTTTTCAAACAATATATGAGTGGCGATGAAATCCAAGCAGGTTTAGCGGGTGGAACCCTTTTTAAGGTTAGCGGCATATCTGTTCTGTAATATTGCTTATTCTGTGCTATTGTGATGCTTTATCCATAAACTTTCAATGTATCTTCTTTAGCTGTGAAATTTCAGGGCCAAATTCGGATAAATCAAAGGAATTTCGAAGAGGCATTCATCGACAATCCAAGTGGCAGCGAGTTTCCGGACATTGCTGTGTTGGGCATGTCTGACCGAAATCGAGCTTTGCATAGTGATATTGTAGCTCTTCGCATAAAACCGCGTTGCAACTGGGTCGTGAGTTCTGTGCTGAACTACTTTTTGTTTTAAACAGTCATGGTACCTACTGTCATTTGCTTTCCATTGTCGAATTTGTGTTTCCCAGGTAAATGAGGATGCTTACAAGAGCTGGAAAAAGGATAACCCTATAAAGAGGCCGGGACCTAATGAGGTTTGTTCTGAGATTGCTCACTGTGGTGCAAATGACCAAATAGAGTAGAGTGATTCGTCTTCTTAATTAGTCACCTTGAGCAGCCTCTTCTGTGCCATTTATTGAAAGGGAAATGTGGCGGTGTGATGTTATATAAGTGCTCAGTCTTGATGCCACTTTTAATTTTCTGCCAGGAACCATTTGGTTGATGAGGAAACTGTAAAGCTTTTCTATGTTCAACATCAACTATCAAGGCCTTGTAAGGCATGGATTATGTAGCACCTGTTACAATGAGAAACTACTTTGAGTCTTTTCAGCGTGTCTAATAGTGCGGTTGAAATGAGATATTTCGTTCTAGTGCTTTTATCACCTCAAAATGTTGAATTGTTTCCAGTGTGAAGAACGCAACACCGTTGTAGAAGTTGTAGAAGAAATAATTGAAGCTGCATCATCGTTGGATAATTCCACAACAGGATCAGAAAAGGTAATGTTTTTTAAATAATCTTCAATGTTGTCTTTCTCTTGGTCTTTCAATGTACTTCAAATATCAGACGAGATGAAGATAAAACAAGGGTGAGGTTCAAAGACGTGATTGCTTCCGTTGTTAGGTCTACGCTCAAGTGTTATACGATTTCCTGTTCATGCATTGCCGACATTATATGTATTTGCATACAATCCGCAGAGGTGACATGGGCACTGTAGTGTAAAGGTAACTGCAAGTGCGTCATTCTGCGGAACAAAACCTTCAATTGTTGCATTTGCTTTTTATTTGAACATCGGGAGCACACGATCTTGCCAATAATGATCGTCAAGTTTTCAATCTGATCGTCTGATTACATGCATTCAGTGTTTATTCAGAATTGTTGTTGGAATGCTTTTACGATTAGTTATGGGATGTTTTAGGATCTTCTCGCTTCAAGCGAGATCGCTGGCTATGTGCAAGATTCAACAGATACAAATGTTGACCTTAAGGATGAGTGCTTCCCGGATGTTCAGGTGGAATTCCTACCTACAAGTTTGAAGTTGAAATAGCATTGGAAGTGAAAGTCTTCGCTTATCAGCGATTCTAGTTTCTTACATCGCTATCATAACCTACAGATGAAATAGACGTGACCAAAGAGGACCATTTTGTGACACCTCGTGTTTTTTGAATTTATTTTATTACTGGAAATCAATTGTTATGCATTATCAAAGTGTCAGTGCGATATTAAGGTACAATAAGAGGTTTGAGGTGAAATCGTGGTGTAAAGAATGCGCGTTTTGTTGTCCTCTTCGCGGCACTGACATATAATAGTTCCTTATAGATCCTAAATAACCGGCGCCGGTAGACGGTCATGCTGCCGTACAAGCTAAACCAATTGTGCGCGTTTTTTGTGAGGTATTTTTCGTGGGGGAATATTTAGTTATTAGATTAGGACATTGGCAGCATGTGGTCCCTACCAGTCCAGATTGAAGAGCTTTCATTTTCTCTGATGTGGCTTGTTCTTTGCATGAATGCTTATAATTTTGTATAGGTCGATGAGATGCCGGAGCCCGGTGTAGATTCTGCTATAATGGAATCTTGCGATCCATCTGATTTAATAGAAGTCAGTTTCTTCTGCAGAATGTCGATGCGAAATAATCTCCCCGGAATGACTTTAGGTTGCAGCTGACAGTGGTGAGAACTTGGCAGTGGTCAGTGCAGAGAAACTCGATTTGAAATCGGCGAAAAAAAGGTCGTACAAGATCTTGTCTGATTTGCCGCTCGAAGAGTGGTGTTTGCCTGATGACTGTTTGCAAAAAACTGCTGAGGTTAGTCCCGCTTATTGGAATCAAACCGTTGAGAAGGAACGTCGCTATATTTAAGGTAGTTGGGATTTTGGAACAAAAAAATTCTCGCCTAGCTATGGGCCGGTTGGAACTAGCCCTTGGATCGCAACGAAAATGGGCGAAGTTTTCACCGTCGGATTCCAGATTGCCGCGTATGATGATAGAAGCATCGCAGCTCCCAAAAGATTTTTTCGAAAGACCTCAAGTAGGTGGACCTGGTAATTTGATATAGTAATACGTATCTTAAGAATTTGTAGTTTTCAAGTCTTGAATGCCTCCTTTTTTCAGGACTTCGGCAAATTTTTATTCCTTGCTAGAATCGTGGAATGGGCTCAAAATTCAATCATGGCGCGTGGAAGCTTGGAAAAGGAGCTTGGGCTTGCTGGTGATATTGATGTGTGTTTTGATCAATTAGGCTGTTTTCAAAACCTTGGTTGCTCATGTCAGACTCTTGCTTCTAACGCATTTTGGAAGCCTTGTAAAGACGCGCTATGATGTGCTCACGATTTTTTTAGGCCGAAACTGAGGGCTTACTTGTTACGAACGACATAGATACCAGCGAGTTTTCCGAAGCAGTTATCGAGTGCCTTCCATCTGTGCCAGAGGGTGGTTGGAAAATTGATGAGGTTGGTTTGATCCACATAAACGGTCCATCCTGTACTTGAATCACATCCTTCTTTTGTTTTACAGGTAGAATTTGCTAAACGCAGAGATTTACGAGACGAAATCATATTCACTATTGATCCGAAAACCGCTCGAGACTTAGACGATGCGCTGTCAATAAGTCCCTGTGACAATGTCGACGGTTGTGGTACTCCTGGTTGGGAGGTGAGTTTAACTTCAGGCGGCTATCACGTTTTTGTCTAGTTGAGTTTCAGATTGGTGTCCACATTGCTGATGTTTCGTACTTTGTGGACGAAAACACAGAATTGGATCAGTGGGCTTCCCAAAGAGCTACCAGTGTTTATCTTGTTCATCAGGTTGGAATTAAGTTCCAAATTAGATTTGTTTGTTATAGCTACATCTTCTTAACATAGGTAATTCCTATGCTACCACGGCTCCTCTGTGAAGAGTTGTGCAGTCTCAATGCGGGTGTAGATCGATTGACTTTCTCAGTAATATGGAAGGTAGATGATAAAGCCAATATATTCGAAGAGTGGTTTGGACGAACGATTATACGGTCTCGAGTCAAGCTCACCTACGAGCATGCGCAGGTATTACCTTGTATTCAATGTCATAAGTAATTGAAACGTAATCGCTTGCCTTTTTCTTAATCTTGGTTTCTTAAGGATTTTATCGAAAATCCAGATAAGGACTTTCAAGATACTGAGATGCCTGAGATATCCGATAACGTTACAGTCCATCAGTTGAAGGAAAAGGTCCGTTGAAAATCTTCATCTTTCGCGGCTGGCTCAGGTTTTTGAACATTTTTATAGGTGCTGCAGTTGAATGGCATAGCGAAACTGCTAAGGCAGAGGAGGCGAGAGAGCGGCTCACTGCAACTTAATCAACCAAAATTGAAATTCGCTCTAGATGACGACAACAAATCACCCATTGGCGTATCAATATACGAGGTTTGACACTTATACATACCGGGCCTAAACTAGTTTTCACCATTCCGCTGCTGAGACGAGATGAGGAAGATTTTCGGTCTGGCAGTTGGCCATGTTGTTTTCAAGGTTCGGTCTGTGCACGGAGTTCTGTGAAAGTTTCTTATCTTTCTTGATTGTTGACATCTCCTATATTTGCTTCATAAGAATTCCGATCTTACCATGAACAGCATATCAAGGCTAAGCATCTTTGTCGACGCTGATGGAACCTTAAATTTCGCGGTCGCTTTTTTAAGTTACGGGAGAACTTCTGTATTATGGCTGAGTGCGATAAATGTCAAAAAGCAAATAAAGTTCATCTTTATAATCCTAAAATTAGCTATTTCTTGACCTTTGCAACATCTTTACGGAAGCTACCTCCGACAAAAAACTAATTCAAATCACTCATTTTTTACTTTTCTCTTCATTTTAGGCCAAGGATTCCAACCATCTAGTGGAAGAGTTTATGTTGTTAGCGAATATGGCTGTGGCCAGGAAAATTGAGAGGCACTATAGAAAAACAGCGCTCCTACGATGTCATCCTCCACCAAAGAAGAAAGTCCTTCGAGATGCGGTTGGTGTTTTAACTGTTATATTGAAGAGCACAGAATAGGTAGGAATTGGGAGTAGTAACAGCGAAATGATGATCGTAGTAAAAGGTCTGATTGTTGGTCGATAGATCGGTAACCTCGCGGCTTTTTCTCGCGAGGGATAAGAAAGAAGTCGACGAATTGTCCTGAGATCACTAGCCGGTTGATTGCTGATAAACGTGAGGCGTTGTTTGTTAGCACTTGAAAATGGCGAATATGAACTAATCGAATAAGGACAGTTGGCGAGGTAACCGATAGATTTCGCCTTCATGCAATGATCACGAAAAAGATCTGATCGCTGTAAAATACTGGAAAATTGAACCGTCTTCTTGTGCTCAAATTCACTTTGATTAGGCAATCTGACGATGACTTTGGTCAAGTCATACTCTTTTAGCTCAAATTGTGCAATACAATTGGATTTCCAATCGACGGAACTTCATCAGGAGAGCTTAGTCAAGCGTTAGCTCCATTCCGATCCAACTCTCGACTTTCGCAGTCAATCAATCAGGTACATTGAAAACGATGCTGTAATGAAGGGATATTCACTTTAATGGGAGCTTTGTTTTACGGAGTACTATCAGGATAGGGGACTTATAAAGAGCGTTTAATGCCTAAGATTTGTGCAGTTGCATAATCAGATGAATATTGATGCCATATGGTTTGAAGTGGGATGTTGAAGGTGCTTTCTACGGTTTTAATGAAAGCTATGGAACTTGCTCGATACTTCTGCACCGGCACCGTCTCGAGTCCAACTCAATATCATCATTATGCCTTGAATGTGCCTTAGTAAGTGCCCATTTCCATTTTCCCCATTTTATTTTTTTCAGATCTTTTCGTATATTTAGCCTGTTCATTTTAAGCTACACCCATTTCACATCACCAATCCGCCGATATCCGGACATAATTGTACATAGATTGTTAGCGGCTTCATTGGGTTACTGTCAACCTTCGGAAAGGACAGTGGAAGAGTTGAAAAAAATCGTAAGTTAAACTTTCGAGTTCTGTTTGTCTTCTTCAAGACATGTTGAGGAGCTCCTTGTTCCAACAGAGTCGAAATATTTCCATTTGTGTATCGATCTTTTTTAGGCTGACCATTGTAATGATAAGAAACTGATTGCGAAAAAGGTTGGGGAAAGCAGTGCTGAGATGTTCTTCGCTGTTTTGGTGCAGGTAGTTGTTGAAATATACCTATCCTTTCTCGTTATTTTTTCTTTCTATTCGAATATTTATGAATTTTATACAGCGTAAGACTACTTTCTACTCTATTCGTGTGTCTTCATATGTTGTGTGCTACTTGTTGATATGAGATGCTTCAGTTTCTTAATTCCGCTTGTAGTAGTTTTTTTTTNTTTTTTTTTAAGAGAATTGGGCCCATGGAAGACAAAGGAGTAGTCGTAAATGTGCTCGATTTGGCATTTGATGTTCTCCTGGTCAAATACGGCGTAGTAAAGCGAATCTATGTCAAAGTAACCCTTCAACTTATTTATTACAACCTTCCTCTTTCCATTTCTTGGTTTATATTTCTTTTTTGAAATATTATTCATAAAGAAAGTTTCAGTCGCTGGATATGAGACGTGAACCGTCATTCGATGAATCTTCCGCACGACTTACGCTCTATTGGTCGACGGATGACGGTGAATTTATTTTCGGAGGTGTTTACATAAACTTGTTGATATCAATCGAACATGTTTTTCAGGCCCAGTAGAGCAGCTGATTCAGATGTGCACGATAGTTGACGTAGTATTGACCGGGGAGCCAAACTCCACAAAGTTCAATGCTGTGATCAAAGCTAAATCGAAGGAGGAATCGCCGACACTTGTCGAACTTTGGCGTGAAGTGGAGCATAATAATGTGGACGGGAATAACCTAGATTTGGGGGAGATTTTACTGGAAGACTCATAATCTTTTCTACTTCGCTACTTGCCGTAGAAATGTGCCCGAGTTTTTTCTCTGAAACAAGCAAATATACAGTGGGTGATACAACTTTACATTCTTAGCATCTTCTTAGCAGGATACAAATTCTTAGAATCTTATTCGGGATGTTCTCAACGGTCAGTGTCCTGCCTTTATGCTTCTTTCTCCTTCTCTAACTTCTGAACACTCCCTCTCATTTGAGGGTAAAAATCAAACGATCTCATTGCTTACTACTGAACTTCTTAATTTTTCACATCTTTTTAGCAGTTCCATTGTATACTTCTGTGATTGTCTACCTCGAACCCATCCGGCTGAGTGTAACGATATAGAACCTCATGGTTGCTAGCTCTAGTCTCTTGATCACTGATTCAGTCGATCGATTGATATGGTAACTGTATTGTAACCGTTGGAAATGAAATATACGTAGCATGTATAGTTATCGGATTGCTTAGGGCGATTCGAGTATGACTTTTGTGCAAATATGGGTGTCTTTTTCTGTGCGTATAATATAATAAACATAGCATTAGTACACAATCATTGTTTATGTTAAAGCTGAGGCTCGAGTTAGCCAAAGCTTTCAAATTCTTTTGAGGTGTTTACGGATAACAACAGTACCGTACTTCATCGATTATTACTGCCACAGCAAAGTCACACCCTATATCTGATTGAACTAACTGGGATTGTAATCGACCGATGGGAGGGGATAGGAACCAGTTCGATATGCTGGTTTCTGCGGAATTCTTTGTAGGCTTGTTTGATGTGAGAGGTTTTTGAATGACTTCAAAACATTAAAAGACAATCTTATCTTGTAATGTGTCCCATAAAGGCTGACAGTAACTACTGCCTACGTTTTTATCAACTGTCTGGGCAATGTTGAGGACCTTGGCACAAGATAGCCCGACTAGCAGGGACCGATACTGTTCCTTCTACTTTTTGGCATACAATGCAATGCTAACGTGCGGCTTTCAATCACTGCAAGCATGTTGAGCGTAAAAATTCATGGGCATGGCACATGAATAATATTTAATAGTGTTGTATCACCAATAATATTGTTTTTGAGATGTTCAGTGCAAACTTTTTCACCTTAGCAGTATGCATTGAGGAGAATCTTAGTTCTATGCCACGTTCCCCATTGAATTCATCCCATATGGGAGCACTGGGTTTAAGCACTGGCCTGGCTTCCCCCAGAATCTTAAAACGGATTGCTTTAATTGGGGAATGTTTTCGCGTCCAAAAAGTCAACATCCCCGAGTGGTCGGCGTCCCATGGGTACAATCAGGCTCTTCTTCTGCAGGCACATGGTGAGACTTGATAACGATTCCTCCAGACACGTTGGGGCATATTTAAGAGCAAACACAATCGGGCCATCTCCATCTGCGTCTCCGCCCGCAACATTGTCTGTCGCTCCGCCGCGTCACGGTCGCGATGCATCGATCGCGGCCCCACGCCACGTCTCACTCGACCCCAGTCCAGGCAGTGGTGTGGTCGCTCATCCCCTTGTCCCATTGTCGTTTTCATCTCTTTCCATTGTAGTATATTGTATGATTCTATTACAGGTATATTTAAACAGCAAAAATGTCACGACGAGGTGATCTGGATGCTAAAGTGTACATTGGTGGTTTACCGCATGATGCCACTTCACAGGAGGTGAGACTAGTTGTTCATTTTCGGGGTGTGATACAGAAGAGCTGGAAATTTGGTGACTGGAGTGATAGTCACCCACAGAAAGTACTGAAGTCGGTGAATATCAGATCTATTCTAGAGCGATTAAGGTCGCAACTATTGGGAATGAACAAAAATGGGGAGTGGGTGGGACTCAATCAAGATTAAGTCATGTATGTTTGTTGCATTGGAAAATTAAATTTGTTTGATGCGGCCCAACAATTCTTTGAGTCCCTTTGATGATGGTGAGAGGGTATAGCGCTATCAGTTGCAGCGTCACATGTCGACCTCCCGCATATCTATCCATTGTCCAAATAGCTACTTACCTAAGACTATCTTTCCTACGTCGAAGTATACAAAGAGCAATTCAAGAAACATTGTTTCTCCCTTGCACTGATCTATTATATTGCGCATTTGCGTCCCCGTTCATTACCTAGCCTTCGGTGTCCAATTTCCCCGACAACCTCTAATTATGGTTCTTCTTGATTTGTATCTGTGTCGGCATTATGACAAGATAATTCTGAACTGCATTGTCTTGAATAAGCCAGAGCTGAACCTAATTTTATTGCATAGTTTGTGAAAAGTCGGAATGAAAGAAGGTGGAAACTAATCTCAGCAGTGTAAACACTTCACAACTGTTCCTCAAAAACATTTTATTTCATTATGTATGTCATAAACATTTTGTCTGTATTCCAGATCGAAGATACATTCCACCGATTCGGTCGTATTCGTAAAGTATGGGTGGCTCGGCGCCCTCCTGGCTTTGCTTTCGTTGAATTTGAAGATAGTAGAGACGCTGAAGACGCAGTGAAGTCACTGGATGGAGCGTGAGTATTACGCGAAGACCTCTTTTGTTCAAGGAAGAACCCTTACACATCAGCTTTTTCAGTCGCATTTGCGGAGTACGTGCCCGTGTTGAGCTTTCTCATGGTAAGCGCCGTAATGGTGCTGGTGGTGGAGGCGGCGGTCGTGGTTATGGCGGTGGCCGCGACGGTGGTTATGGTGGTCGCAGATCCAGGTGAGAACAGATTCGACGTTGTTGGGGGCATAAAACGTGATGCAGAGATGAGTCCTAATGTCGTGAGGGTGGCAGTCAAAAGAACTGGACCATGAATTGCGAATTTATTAACATAAATCCATTACTCATAGTATTTAGAACAAGTGAGGTATCAATAGCCCAAAACATAAGAGAGCGTTCGTATGAGCTAAAGTTTTTATATATCCCGTTTTCACCCTGGTTGTAGTAGTTAAATGAGGTTTAGCCGTATTTGAATGTGTCACTAGGAATTACTGATATTGATAGCTTTCAATTTGGTGCAGTTGTGTTAGAAAAACTCCCGATACCACATTCGTAATGTGATGCGGAGGTTTTGTGAGCGCGATTTTTCTTGACCGGGATCATGGCCAACGCGTGGTTACTGTAGTATACGTGTTTATGTAATGTAAAACAAGCTAGATGGCTTTTATCCAATACAAAGACTTAAAAGTAAATTTGAATGTTTTAGCGTTTCTGACCTACCGGTCTACCGCCATCTACCATCAATCTTCCCTTCTCTCTCTTTCATCATAAGATAATCATCGCATCATCGCACCTTCACTTCAAACACCCTCATCCGCGTACCCTGTCGTAACGTCGCTTTCTACTGTAACTGCGTCGCATCACATCCGAACACGAAATCGACTGTCTCATAGCGAAGAGTACAGAAGTATACTGTCTACTTTGCATCAAACTCAGCACAGTGAACTTCAGTACAAAAATTCATCGGGACAGGTTTGTTAGGTGCGAAGAGTTACCTGAGTATTGTGACAATAGATTAACTGACTGATGTCCATAATTATATTCTGAGTCTAGTTACCGAGAGGATTAGAATCGCTCTGGTAGTACTAAAGCTGCATGTAATGAGGCGAATCCGTATTCAGGTCGCGTTCTCGTAGTCGCTCTCCCCCACGACGTGGCGGATCTCGATCACGTTCTCCAGATGACAGAAGCCGGTTGGTTTTTGTTGCAAAATGGTTGAGTGGGAAAAGCAATTGTTGTCAGTCATGAACTCGTTCTAGAAGCCGCAGTCGCTCACCATAACAATCAGTTTATGAAGACGATCGATCCACTGAAGCGATCTCTAATCGGATTTTCATATTTTGACTCAATTTCGTGTACTATAAGGTGGATATTGTTACAATGTGTCGTTGTTTGTGTGTAAACTATGTAAACTTATGGATAATGAAGTTTTGCTAAGGAACTGGTTGCAAATGATGGCTTACACATTGGACAAATTGTATTTACTGTAAAGAAAAAACAAAACAAAATGGCAATGAAGAAAATCGAAGTGGAAGGTAGTCGTTCATCACTGGACGCAGGCTGACAGGCTTATCCGTAAAGGCCTTTCTTAGCCTGTGGGAAAGCTTTGGAAAACTCACTTAGTCCGGGAGATAAGTAAAAGCAGCAGTACTATGGAGCGGGTTGGTCTCATAGATGGAATCGAGTCAAACTTGGAAGACCTGCACGGTCGAATGCGACCTTGAACGGAGGCGATCGAGAGGATGAAACTGGCTAAGGAGCATGAAGGGGGTTCTGCTTTTCCCTTTTTGGCCTACTAGGTTTTGGAAAGTATTAAATCTTATTCAGCTATTCCCAAGTGTTGCTCAACGTTGAGAACTCTGCAATGGAAAAGTATGAAATCGATATTGTCGAGTTTGGGTATCGCCAAACTGATATTTAGCCATTTTGATAGTGATGATTTCTGTGCGGTGTGGTTCATTTTATAACTTTTCACTAGGGGTACTGGAAGGTCGCCACCTGGCAAGAAGTAACGTCAACGTGAACGTCCGCAACATAGGAGAACTTTGAGTCAGTCGCAAAAACTATGCAACAACGTGCCTGGAACGGACCAGACGGAGCAGATGAGCCGGAAGTGCCGGTATTACGAGGGGTCCTACCGATGTTTCCCGTACCGCCACCACCGATTCGGCAAGCAAATCCGCCTCCACCACGTCGTCGAGGTGCTGCTCGGTAAGCACCTCCAGTTGCAAATTATGGCTTTTGCCAGGTGCAGAGTTTTTTTTTTGCCAGACTTCGCGCGGAATCGCCAGATACAGCCGTTGAATACGATCAAAACGAAGTCGAGGCGTTGAAGAGGATGAAAGGTGAGCGGTATCTGAGATAGTGTCACCTGAAGGGAGAGTGGGAGCAGAGCAGATATTTTCAGAAATCGCCGACCGACAAATCAGCGGATTGTCGTTGATTGGGGAATCGAAACAGAACAAATCTTTTGTGGTGGTAGGTTTGAGCCAATTTAACAAATGATCCTCCTATTATTGAAGCTTGAGAGCTCAGTGCAAATCTCTTTTTGTGCGAACGTTTCCTACCTGGAATCGTTCTTTTCCTCAGGGAAATATCGGGGTTTTCACTAGATTCCTTATCACATCTACGGGAGGGGCTCTGTCTTGCCAAGAAGCCCTTTGCTGACTAGGCCTCAGAAACCTCAGAAGGATTTACTTCTTCTTCTTCTTCTTAAAAAAAGAATATTCCGTCAGCATAGACTGTCTCCTTCGTGGACTCAATGAACCGACGACTGTACAACTGAATATCCAGCTGCAGCGAACTGAGATTTTAAAGCTAGCTTGAAAATGTGATCAGAATCAGTCGAGCCGTTATCGGGTTATCTGCTACTCAGTAACTGATTAAGTGTTCATAATGAATACAGTACTCTTCGACCAGGTGAACGATGATGTGCGGGCTGTGCGTGAAGCTGAGGAAAGGTATCTGATGAAAGAAATGGAAGCTCATATAAAATTGATTGAGAAAGGGGTGAGTTCAGCATAGTATTGAGCGTAATTCCAGATTACAGATACTTACTTCATCTTTTTTCCTATGGAGCCGTACAACGAGTTTGTATGTAATTGGAAGGATAGAGATATTTCAGACTGTTGATCAAGCATCTATACGAATGCTTATGACCCCATTATGCAATTTTGTGGAACGGCTCGAGATGGAATTATCGAATGTAAGATTTTTTTTTGTTTTTTGAATATTCCACAAAAATATATAGCGCTGAGCTTTTCTGTTGTGTGCTTGGGGGAGGTGATATTTGACTGAGAATTCATAAATCCTGTTTACAAGGACCTAGACTGTTCAAGATTATAAAAGATACAGGTACCGGGATTAAGCACGCTGGCAACGGATGAAATGAAATGATACCACTAGACCCGTTACACCTTTAGGTCAACAGTGAAATATTAAAACGTTTGTATTTGATGTAGGGATGGGGAAAGGGGTCGATAGGATTGTAAATATAATAAACGGCATTGATAACAGTCGATAAGAGCTGCTTCGCGGGACCCAGCTCAGCGGTTTGTTTACAACAGAGAAACATTGGCAATTCCGTATGTAATGTGGGGAGTGACGGGATCAGTGATCGTTACCATTCGCTTAAGGGAATAATAATTTTAATAAGGTTCTTAGTGTGACAGATTAATTTTTTTTAATTTTTTGACATGATTGTGTCAACCGCTTCAAGAATTTCACTGCCGATCTTCCTGAAGAGGGCTACGAATGCTCAGGGCTGCTTTGCTTAACAGGGTTATCATAGCAGCTTGAGAACTTCGAGGTGGGCCAAAGTCCCCGTTCTGAAGCTAACCCGGTGCAGCATCTGTAGATAATCGTTGAAATCTTTGCGTAATTTTATTTTACACTGTCAGCGGTATCCCATTTGCCTCCCTCTTGTTGTTTAGTTGGGTTTCAAAGAGGATTTCAACGATGGTGGTATCATTTTGAGTCCCTTTACTACAACGATCTATTTGTGTCGTTGCCAGAATAGGGCCCGAATAAAGTTGTCCCATCGTAACTACTCTGTACGCTAAAGCAATATCAAACCTACTTAAGCAGAACAAATACAAGAGCAATACAGGTTGCTCCTTATATTCAAAGCTCAGATGGTCGTGCACCTTCACATATTTACTTTGATCAGACTCTATTTGCAGACTAGAAACCTTCTTACGGATATCGAAGCTAGACAAGCTGATCTGAACAAAGAAATGGAACATGTGGAGAGTGTGAGCAGAATTTTAAGCAATGGCTCGCAACAAAGTAGCGAATTTAAACCGAAATGAAAATGATTTCATCAATGCTCCGCTGTCTTTATGCTTTAAATTATCTTGCCTTAAGCAATAAAGTAGACTTGTTCTCCTGACAAATTCCACTCGCTTTTTTCTGAAGAATTATAGCAATGACTCTTTACTTCAACTCTATGTCTACAATGACTGTCATAAACCAATGAAAGGTTTTTAACTCTTCTTCTACACTAATTATACAGAGGATTCCTGAAGAAAAGTTTTCAGGCCTGGTAAAAAATTGTTTTCCAGTCTAATAAGTTGGGTGCCTACCCGCCCTGATGGCTCACAAACACATCAATTGTAGACAGATGCGCTGAGATCAGGGCCCAGTCAGGGTACAACGACTGGGTATTATTCCGCAACCAACCTAATAAAGACCTTCAGAACTTCAGCAAAAAAGCTATGCAGCTTACCCTTAACTGGAGGACAGCAACAATCAATTCTGCTGCTGATCTGAAAGGGTCAAGTGAGGAACATACCGTCTTAATTCCCGTGTCACCTCGAAGTCCTCCTTCACCTGCCCAAGCACGTACGACAGGGCCTGGTAGTGTGACAAGAAGGTTGCCTCGCATCAATTAACAGGAAACTAGAAATTAGAGTAAAACTCTCTGTGGCCTCTCTAATTCGAGTGGATCGGCTCTAGCAACTGTTGCTCCTTCCACTGCCGTTTCACTCTTAACGACTGCATCGTTTCCTTTCAATTTTGACTTAACGGGCCACTGTGACGATAGCACTGAACCATTTTCGTTGCTCAATTTCAATCCTTCATGGCAACATAAGTACCTCATGTCATAGAAATAAGATGAAACCATAGAAACTCTCATTATTCGAAAAAGGTAGTCGTAAGCTACCAGAACTCTCCACCGTTTTCTATTTCAGTACTTAAACGGAGGCAAAGGTCGGTGAGGCAACTTGCGTGTCACTGTACGACTTTGTCTTTCATTAGTACCCTGTGAAATCAGTCAGCGCATTTCCCACTGATCCAGTCCTACTTAGGGACCGTGCTGTTGAACCTCGAATAGGTCGAAATAATGAGGACTCCAAATGGTCACTCTGACCGGTTTCGCTTCTCTCTTAAGATAGTTTCAGCAGTTTTACTAATGCTATTGTTTGCTTTATTTATGCGTATGTTGTAACCTCACAAGCCCTAAAGTTTTGTTATTCTGTTCAAGGAACATGCTTCTACTCAAAGCTCGAGCTGCTCCATTTCTTTGGCTTCTTTTCTTCATGCAGGTATGTTTATTGAAATATTTCTTTGGATATGACTACAGGAAAGTTACAGCTGTGCAGAATATAAAGAGAACTGCGCAGTTCAACAAATGTTGTTGTAAGTTCAGCACTGAAATTTTGAGGAACTTGGTAATTTAGGCACAGCGGGGCTGAAGCATTGCTCAAAGAGGGTCACATTTCTTCTCTGCAATGGATCATTGCCAAAAACCCAGCATCTTTAAACAATACTTCTATCGGAGGTTGTCACAGGACGTGGCGGAGTACAAGTAGCGCACTACATCATGCGTAGACCTGGGATAGAATCCCAGATTGATATCAAGCGGGACTGTCAAGGCTTGGGCTATACAGGTTACCAGCGACCTGGGATCTGATCCCGCATTGTGCATTTGATAATAAATCATTTGAAACCACACCATAATCACCCCATAAAATAGAATATTCCTAATAACTATTCAATAGGCAACAGTTCAATAAATACCCTTCTATATCTCATTCTTATTCTAGGCACATATGGCCCTATCGTGTACGTTCACAATCGTCACAATTAACACTATGCCATACACTAAAGTGCAATACAACAGAACGATCGAGGCTCAAAGTGAAGGCGGTTGTCTCAAGAAGTGCCTCGAGAACTACCCAGAATGTCTTATGGTAGGCGTGGATAATACTGGTGACGGGGTGAGTTCTTTTACGATGGCCTCATTCACAGTCAATTGTTGAATACTGTATAAAACAGTACATAATTGAAAAATTAAATAAATAAATGAGAAATTCAAGTATGTTTCAATGAGGGTGTACAAATATTATGGAAAAAGATAAGTTCAAATTTATTTTGGAGACATAAGTTTGGCACAATAACCGCTAGGAAGAATCCTTAGCTCCCTTAGAAAAACGAGGTTCTCTTTTTGGTTAAAGTCTTTAAAAGTCTTTAGGCGTTAATTAATCGCGTATGAGGGATGCGCCCCACATTCGGCTTCAATTCAGAATCGTAGTGACGCATTGAATGCCTATACAATGACTTATAGCGGCTAGCCGATGTACAAGTTAGTGCTTTTGTCCTCCCAGATGAGTACGGTACCAATTAAGCGACCCCGAAGGATTGGGAGGTTTGGTTGGCCTGAGCGAAACTCGATGGGAGGTGGAGGGGAAGGAGGGCGGTGGGGGGGGGGGGGGGTGAGGCGGAGCCCTACACTGTTCTCCTCGTCTTGGGCATCAAGCGCTAGGGCGCATAGAAGGAGGGTAGCCGGTTTTGCGGGCCTGTACTGGAGCTTGGAAACGTTTTTTAGCCTTAATTGGAAGGAGTACCGGGCTCGATGAGTTGATAACGTCTAAAATTAATTCGTCTCAAAGCTGGGATAGGGGAAGGGTTCAGCTTATCACTGGTTCATCTCAAGACTGTGAGCTTTAGCGTAGTAACATACTGTTCCTGCTGAAGGAGCACTGATCTATCCTCAGCTCCTCCCTTGATCCATGACGGAAAGAGACGACAGCAATATTTCTCACTTTGCCTGAAACCGTATTTGGACATATCTGATTTCTAACATTGTGTTTTCAGATCTACTGCTTCCTGTACTTCCCACGTTACATTCCGCCAAACCATGTTATCCATAAGCATATCAACTACAACAATCCCAATGAAACTATGTATCTATTGGAGAGAGACAAAGTAGATCTCACATGTCCTCTGGTGGATACCAAGCTTCCTGCCTGAATATGCTCGGGGAGCAGAAGCCCTGCCCTCACCAATGGATCAAATGATCGTCATCAAACATCGGTAGTGGCCCAAGTGGGCAGTGATCACTTTGCTTGGGTTTTGCTGTGCTTCTGAGTTCGCTCTGTTTTTTTTTCGCTTGTCTCTTTCTCGCTTTCCTAGATGTCCAATGAAAGATCGTAGCTTCAAAGCAAGTTTTCAATTGGAAATGTAATCGAACGTAAACGTACATATGTGTTGATCTGGAAGTTTTAACAGATTGCAACTGAGCTGTATACACAACTGGTTCAAAATGTAGTCGTGGGGACCACTCCACTGACTGCTTTCATAGTCCGCCATCCGGCTCGCGCGCTCGCTAGCGGACTATGAAAGCAGCCACTGTGTCCTGCGTCTCTAACGCCTACTGCTAGAGCCATGGAAGGATAAGGCACCGGCTTCGCAGGCCTGTAGTGGGGCTCGGAAATGAAATGATTCTGAGTGGAGGAAGCGATTTTTCAGACTAAGTCCAAGAAGGAGAAAAACCCCGGAGTGACTGGAGTGCTGACTCCACGAAAACCACCCAAAAATTGAGTTGCGGAGGAATTGGCCAATAGATACTACCTGAGAGAGCGCCTGCGAGGGAGGACTAGGAAGAATGGCACCTCCAACCGCATTTCTACCAACTAAACTGTTTTGGAGAAGACAACTGATATCACAACCTCTTCAACATTTCTTACCCAATCCGTGAGACCATTAGCAGGATGGCAATGCCCTTCAATGTGAGTTTTGGACCCAGTCTCGAGGGGAGGGGGGGGGGTCCTTCCAATTTTCCAAACCTGAGTAATTGGTCCCAGAATTGTACGGGAACGGCGTATACTTACAAATACACTAAGTTGTGGAATAAATAGACTGGATATGCTTTCGAATATCGAATATCACTATCCGGAACGGAAGCCGTTTGGATAGCGCGCCTTGGGAACACTTGTTCACCCTTTTCTCTTCGTTCCGTCACATTGATCGATTCGCAAACTATCAAAATCGATTTGTCAGGCAACAACCACCAGAATTCGTCCTTACAAATATTCATTCGTAGCATGTACACATAAAAATATATAAAAAACAATTTCTTTTTTGTCACTGTCTGTCTGTGGTGTAGAATTAACGAATAGAAAAATGTACAGTATGATATCATAGAGTATGTTTATATAGTATGCATATGAGCTAAAAAAGTGGACTAGTTTCGTCGATGATAATCGATAATCGATTAGTTCAGTGTTGAGTGGTTCGTGCTGTGCTGTGTGGCAAAGGCAGTGATGGATATACGGTAGGAACGCACGTGATTGTACAAAAAATGCACATGAAATTGAGTGGGTGGGTGGAAAGGACTATATAGTTGGCGATAGAAAGGCACTTTAGCAATCAACCAGCACAATGAAAAAAACTGAAAATTATGCGCGGAAGTAATCTAGGGCAACTACCAAAAATCAATAAGCAGAGACGCAAAAGACGGGTGATCGACTGAAAGTATTTGGAGTGGTTGGGCGCGCGCGCGTGCGCACGCGTATGTGCTACGACACGCGACAGGAATTGAGCGGCTGCGGTGGCGACGTCGGCGGCGGCGGCTGCGGCATCGTCGACGGAAAAGAAAAGCGGCGGATAGAGGTGCTCAGAAGTTGGACCACATTGGTTTGCGAACCCAACGAAGACGAAGACCAGAATTGGTCTTGATTTTGATGCTGGCCGCTTCGGCAGCTCGAACGGTGTCCTTGACGGCCAGCATGAGATTCTGCGCATTGTGCGCTAGCTGTTCCATGGCTTCGATGTCCTCTTCGCTACCTGCAAAGTATAATTTGGTAGGACGACCAATAAAACCACATGGTAAGTGAACTCATGCCGTTGTATTCACTACAAAATCCTGTTAGAAAAGGAATAAAAGGAAAGGAGGTGGAGAGTACAGGGAAAGGATTAATTTCATTCTTTTATGTTTCTAACGATGCTAACTTCTGCAGATTTGAACGTGAGTCAATATTCAATAGAGTTCTGTAGGTTATCTTATATGTGTAGCTGTGATTGGCAGCTTTTACGTATCTCCATTCACGTCCTCAGTAACACTATATTGATTGCACACGCCCTCAAAACCAGCCGCTTTACGACCGCGCGCGACAGGGGGGTGCTAGTTGCGCTGGCTGCACAAAGGTGGAATTGACAGTTTTTGCACTTGTTTCTAGATAGATAGTGGCTCTTTGAAATGTTAATCTTGTTCTTGGGTAGGAGCGCCGAAAACATGTTCACAAGTACACGTGTTGAGTGTATTTCCTGAGCAAACACTTCTCTTCACCCCCCAGTCAGTCACGTGTCCAACAATTCAGCTAACAAATTCACAAAAATACAGCATGGACTTTTCTGGTCTTGAAAAACAAAAGGGTGTGACCTAACACTTCTTAATAAGAAGATCTACTGTTATCCACTCTCGGTATGGTATCACACCTGGGACCACACTCATTTTGTTAGTGGAACTCAATAAATACATGCTGGGTTGTTGCTGTAAAGAAATTGTGAATTACCATCAACTTGTTCTCCGTACGGCCCAATGGTCACTGGAAATATTGCAACAAAGTCGATTTCAATCAATAAATGAGCTTTTTTTCTCAAATCAATGGACTGGCGGTTTTCACCGTCAACTTCGATACGGTAACCAATCTGTGATGAGGCAGATAGTTTCAGCTTCTCCCCATTACCTGACTGAGTGGACTGTACATAATACTTTCCCATACTAGTAGCTGAAGATGGCCAGGAAGAAGCGGAATGAGAATGGAGCATGCAAAAAGGGATGGCTACTGACAACGAGTCAACTGGAAACAGTAACAGGAAGGGTGTGGAGCACGGAAGGATCGGGTTTATTCCACTTGTGATCGCGATAAACCAGCATTAATGCAACCCCGCTTACTGATTAAGAAACCAAATTAAAGCCATGAAACGAGGCAAGCCACATTATAAGAAAAGCAAACAGAAGCTGAACTTAAATTACCGCGAATGGAGGTGCTACTTTAGGGCGAGAGTCGATGGTGAAAAATTCAGAAAGCTTGGCAAATTCCTTCAGAAAATTTCGGCTTTAAACTCATTGGCTGCTTTCATAGTCCACAATTTGGCCCGCGAGCGAGCGAGCGACCAACCGACTAATTGATCGACCGATCGAGCGACCGGGGCGGCGTTTGCCCCTTGTTTACCACTGAATCTTGGTCAATACCGCAGGACGAGTGGTTCCCCGGTCGCTCGCTCGTTCGGTCGGTCGCTCGCTCGTTCGCGGGCCACAACGTGGACTATGAAAGCAGCCATTCTCAGTTTGATCTATGCTGAGTTCATAAAATCCCGGCATTTTCGCTGTAGCCATATCCAATACAGCGAAAATGCCGGGTTTCACGGTATGGTAGCCTTACACTGAATGAACAGCTCATCACTCAGAGTAGCTGTAAACGCTATTGCGCAGACGATCTTTGACTGACGACATAAGCGTCCCATGCCGTCGCCTGTTTGCACAGTACGTGTGCAATTACGTACATCCGGCGAAGCGTCAAGAAACAAGCGCTAGCCTCTACTCAAACAAAATGAAGAGCACAAAGAATGCGAACTTCCTATGGGACCAAACTAATCAATGGAGAGATGAATTCAACTACTCACTTGAGGTGCCGAACATTGTTGACTTGACCGTGGAGCACACTTTGAGCTGAGTGGCTATCGTTGGTATACGTTCGGCCATTTGAAGGAGAGCCTGGAATGCAAAAATTCACCTAATCGTCGCAAATCAGCGAATACTCCCTCTATAGTGGTCTCTGCATCTCTAAATCTAGCCGAATTCTCCGTCTCTTACAAGCGGTAGAATGCAGTTCGTAGCAAACTCATTGTATAAAAAGCGCACAACACCGGTCACAGCAGCACTTCGAATTTTGACAAATACAACAGAATATTACTCTAATTCCGTACGAACGCTGTCGTTCTCCTAATCATTAGTCGATGACATTAATTCCAAAAAGATTTCTTGGGATCAATTACCATTCGCATCTTGAGATCCGTGCAGAGGCGAGCGAGATGTACTGCCAGTCGGGTTACTTCCTCACTTGAATCGGCGATCGCTTTAGCGCATTCAATGAGGTCCTGCAACGAAATAGATTTTCTGTATGGAAAGATACTTATCATGGAGCTAATCCCAAAATGACCTTATGATATCTACAATAATTATCTCCACATTATACAAGAAATCTTATAGAAAATACCCGACAACTGTCACAAATAACTAGACAACTTGAGCAAATAATTTTCAAAATGTCAGTTTATACTATACAGCTTCTCCCTCTCCCCGGATTTATTACGATGTCGTTGTTTGCCAAAACAATACGCAACATATGTGGATGGTACTCCCGGCTGAATGTTTACAACATTATGCCAACAACAACACTAGTCGGTGCAAGGGGTTAAGTAGGAATGCTTGTTGACACCTCTCCGGGGGACAGTTGTCCCAAACAATGCTCCTCATCCCAAATATCGTCAGCATCTCAAACTATAGCCCTTAGTCATAGTATAATAATCATTTATAATAATATTGAACATTCCTCCCTATTCCGGTCCATCACAGTAAACTGAAGAAATCAGACCATCCTCACCTTCTTCGTTCCACCTTCACCGCGTACAAGTTGTGACAGACGAGCCATCAGGATAGCCATGCGTTTGGCAGCGGCTACGATATCGTTCTCCTGACTTGACCATTGCTTGAGCTCCTGGAATATGGCCGATAATCATCCAGTAAAGGATAGTCGATGGTGGGAACCGATTCCTTGAAAGGAGTGGGCGACAGCAAGCCGGCAACAGCTGCCAACAGATCGTCAGGTACAACATCAACATTAGTTTTGAGGAAAAAACATTACTACGTGAAGTACCTGAAAACGAGACAACTTACGTTGTGTAATGAGTGGGCAGCAGACAGAATTGGCTGGTGGCTGGCCTGAGGTAGAGGATATCTGCAAAAGGAAGTTTCAGGGAAAGAATCCCAAAAAATCTTTCAAGCGACACTGACCTTTCCCAGAAAGCTCTCGTCTCTTCCTCCTCGTCGTACTCAGGTGGTGGTGGTGGCCGTGGCGGAGGGCTGATCTCAACCGGAGGTGGTGGCCTCGGTGGTGCAGGGATCTCCTCACGTATGATCATCTTGTTATGAACGATGGGCGGCGTGGGTGCTTGCGGTGGTATTGTGCGTATAACTTGGGTGGTTTGCTGCAGAAAACAGATTGACATATGGCCTTGGCAAGTTGCCAATCATTCAGTCACAGAAACTACCTGCACAGGAGGATACGGTGAGGCGCGGCTAAGGCTGTCTTGGTACATGGCTGAATGCCGTCCGTTCTGTAAACCAGCGATAGCATCTCCCACAGCTCGAACCGAGTCCAACAATTGGTCGTTAGCATTGCGCCATGCATTTGCTGCACCAGTATCGCGTGGACTGATTGCCACCTGTTTTGCCTGGGTGACCATCGGTGGAATGGCTGAAAACGGGCGTTTATCAAGAGAGAGAACATGAATATAAGGAGCTCACTAACCCAAGAACGTTGAGCAGTACACACTTAGGCAGCATGGCGTTTCAAGCTAACGGTCTTCAAACTACAAAAGCAGGCTCACTTGTTTGGAAAGTAAACTTCGATGTAATGCGTATTTTTATACAACTGTGGCCCTCATCTCACCTACAACTTACTGTAAAAAAATCGATAAGGGAGGAAATGATATGGGGAGAGGTTTCAAAAAAGTGGAACAGAAGTATTTCCTAAAGTACTAAAAACTACCGGCAGTAGGACTTATCTACAAACGTATTCTGTTCCTTCCAGATTATTTTTATGCCCACAGGTAATTTTAGCGTACCTCAGAAGGAAACTCCGCTCAGGAGTTTGGCCGGCAGAATTTGTAACAGTAGCTTAATTGAAAGCTTTTCCGTCGGTCTGATATGCATTATCAAATCACTCACAAATGTAAACCCGTGGATCCGTCGAAGCGTTCTCAATACAAATGGCACTTGGTACCACGATTGGGCGGAATTCATAGTCACTGTTGTGCGAGTCGGTCCGCCGTGGGAATCGTAGTGGAAATTTGGTTGAAGAAGGCATATTGTCGGTTTATGGGTCGAGGAACGTGGGTTCCAAGCAGAGGCGGGCTTGGAGCCGGTGTGGGGATGAGCGCAGGCGGAAACTGCGGGTGGAATGATCTGAAACTCACCGGAGCGCACTTGGTTAGCTGCACTGTTTACTCGATCGCAGTATGCTGGCTCCTCCGAATTATCGGCCTCGTTCTGTGCCGTCATCAATACACGGTTACCGAGGCGGGCGATCTAAAAAAACCGCTCTGAACTGTGTTCAAATTTTTACAACTTCGATCTTAATCTCCGATCATCTATGATCTTTGAGAGCCGCTGTTTAAAATCAACCAAGTGCCTTCAAAATAATTCGTTCCGGACTGCAACTTATGGTGCCCATGATGGAAAGCCCCGCCCAATCTAGAAGCTCCACCCATCTAAGGTAAGACCCTCCATGATCGAAAAGCGAGCCCCAGTACACATGCTGATAGAATCTCAAATGTAAATACATGTATTGTTGACATTGCTAAATAAACATCTATGCATAGTTATTGATCGATATTTGAACATTTTTCAATCGATTATTTGTCATTTACCTGAGAAGTATTATCGACCATTCCTTGCGGATAGTTGTTTGTGATCGCATCCTCACATCGATTAGTGTATCGACGCATAGCCTTGAAATGTAAGCCTTTGAATAGATGGTAATGGGAAAATATGGTCAGGGGGAGGGGAGGATGGGGGAAGTCTGACCGGATCCTTGTTTTCAGCTTTAGAGAGGTCATTGGGTAGAGAATTTCAAAAACAGCCTATCAATCTATTCCTGTACTAGGGCGATAGAAGGTTTGGGGAATCCCCTCCCTTCCCCCAGTCAAAATGGGCAAATTCTCAAGCTTGTTCCTACCGATTCACTGGCTCTGACGAACTCATGGGTGTCAATGGCGTCATCAACATGAGATCGCAGACGATGCAATGCGTCAGCGTATTGCCTAAATGTTTCAGTTCGATATTTCATCTACAGAGCTCAGGATTAGCCTAAAAAGCCTGAAACTACCTGTGCAGGTTCTCAAAGTGCTGCTCGGCCGAGTCAGTCTGATTGTGCAGACGGATCTTTCCAGCGTTCACCAATTGTGGGGTCATCTGGTCAACCTTAAATGAACTCACTTGCTAAGGTTAATGTCAGAATGACCGGAAAGTAAATAATTTTCAATAACGAATCATAGCTAAACAAAATCCCGAACCTTCTCAGCGGTGTCCACAATAGCTTCGACCGTGTTCTTACTCTTGCATGGACCACATGTGGCCACCTAAAACAGAAAATATTCAGAGAGGTAATGATTCCAATCGGCACAACCCTGGCCCAGGACAGGAAAAACCTCACTACACAGCGAAAAAAGAAAGCTAGAAGAAATTACCAGTCTAGCAGTGTTTGTCATGCTACCGGCGTGCTGTCGTAGTCGATCAGCCTGAAATCGAACAGGATAAAACGGAGAGCGTGGTGAATGAACGAGGAGAAAAGTCAAATGAGGCCAGAAGTATCAGGGCCACGGAGGATTTCAGTTCTAATGAGAAGTTTCCAAAGTTTCACTTAGACTGATCAGAAGCTCTACTGATTCTGGCTGTTCTTAAAATGAGGTTCCTGACGATCTGCCTAAGCCCCCTCACCTTGTCGGCGAAGTTTCCTTCTCTGTTGGGCGCATGTGGCTCGGCGTGAACAGCTTCGACAAACTGCTTGAGAGGAGTCGTGATGTCAGCGAAGTCCTCTACCTTAAAAAAAGTCGTACACCTCCGTTTTTGCCCGGATCCATGGGATCCCGCGTTATCTGTGAGAGCCCTTCGACTAACCACACGATCAGTGAGGACTCTTCTCATGAAGTCCGACAATTCTCGCAATTTATCCTTCAGCTGTTGGCGGATGGCATTCGCTTCAGGGGTGTTACCCAAGCCTCGCCGTTCCAAATCGGCCAACTGATTCGCTAGTCGATCGATGTCGGAGCACAAGCCTAGCAGGTGACCGCTAAACGGTTACGGTATTATGGTTGTACATGGCAGAGCAATGATCAACTACTGGTTGGCAAAGGATCGATGGAACCTACCGATCTTGTGGGTTCAATCTGTCAGCAAGTCGCCGTGCATCATCTGTCATCATTTTCATGGCACGAAGTCCTAGACCACCATCATCCACTCCAGGATTATCTAGCCATCTAAAGCAATTAGGTCAAATCTGGCCAACTCCATTGATTGAATACCATCAATAATGGGGAAGTGAAAAGGGGTCTCGCAGCGATTGCCCCTCAATGCCGTTTGGCTTATGTGGCTGTGTAACTAGCATAAAGGGTAGGTGGGATGACCCCAAAAATTCATATTCCAGTAACTGAGTCAAAGGGTAGTGGGTTCCAGGAAACGTGAACGGTCTTAGAGAAGGCCAATAAATCAAAACAACATAGGATTATCAAGAAAAACAGTACTAGTATGCATACTTCTCCCCTATTTTCTTAAAATACTCGATCCATGTAGCTAAATGCCATGCCTAGGAAGAGAGACCTCACCTTAGCGCCTGCTCCAAACGTCCACCAGCCGTATGAGCCGGATTGGCACCTCCGAAGCGGTTAGCATTCAACAAGGCGTCAGGAAGTATACCGCTGCTGTGTTTGGTGCCAACCAACTCCTACAACGATCACAAACTCAGCTAAACAAACCCTAGACGAGCCTTCGATTCAGCTCACCTTGAGTTTCTGAGCGCAGCTAACGGCAAGCCCTTCGTTGTCATATCGGCCCAGATTCCTCAATTCACAGATGGCGTCGGTCAACGAGGCGATCTCAGAAATCGAGCGCTTGATGGCATAACTGTCTTCAGGCAATGCTCGAGCTCCGATACGCTCAGCATAGTCAAGAATTCGACGAATTGCCTGTAGTATAAGCGATATGATGGGCACAACGGCTAAGGTGAATCACAGTCACACTCACTTTCTCTCCTACAGCTCCAGGTCGGGCTCGTGGATCGCCCAGCCAATCGAGCGCGGCTGTCAGGAGAGATTTCGCTGCGGACATAGCCTTACGCATCACCGTCACATTGTCTGCATCCCACTCGTCTTCATCATAGGTGGTGAGTTGGAGGACACGGATGATCTCGTGCATTTCGTCGGTCATTCGTGCCGCCAAGTAGTTTCTAAAATTTAGAAAATGACGTAAAAAAATATTTTATGACAAACAAAGGTGGGAAGGAAAGGATGAGTGAAGTCAAATATTGATTGAATCTTCCCGAACTTGATACCAGGCAATCAACTTTGAGCCAGAATTGCAGTGGGAATCGATACATAGGTCAACTTTTCACCTTACTACTCCTCATCCTGAGAAATCAAATAAGAGTTATCATGGAAAAGAAAAGGTCTTCTTTTGCTCGAACGACGCCCAGTCAAAAAATCAACTGAAAACCACGGGTATTGGGATAAGCCAGAAATTTACGTTTTTCAAAAAAAAAGTGTGCAGATTTGGAGGTTCGAAATGGGTTCAATTAAACAATTTCATAAAATATCAAGAAGTTTGGATTTGAATGTCAACAAACTTTGGCGGTAAGTGTGGAAAAACACTCATCTAATTCCACAAGCGATTCTGGCTATGTTATTACGACGTCATATTTTAAAAGACTTCTAAAAGCGAAACAGGCGAAGCAACAAAAGGTAAGGGATTACCGATTTTCAGCTGCTTCAGATTGACCACGTTGCTGATCCTGTCCGATCTGGATGAATATCTTCATAGCGCATATAAGGATTGGTGACAGTGTTCGTATTTGATCCAAGCAACTGCAACAAGTAAAGAATTGGCTTTCACAAAGGAAATTATAAGTCATCAGAAAAGATATGGGTAGCCATATCAAATACAAACATGTAAACAACGAATATATAAGTACTGAGTAACAACACAAGGCCGAGGTTAAAACAAGAGAGAAGTTGAAAACTAAAGACAAAAAATCTCAGCTAGTGATCTAACCGGCATAGAATATCCCTATGGACTTGATGAGTCAGCTCAGCTTGCCGATTCGATACATCCGATGAGACGCGTGAGAGCCATGGGGTGATATCCTGAAACTCGGATTGACTAGAGTACAGCAAAAAATGAACTTTTTCGATTTTCGAATCAAACGATTTGACTTAATTGTTGCTTTTTGATATGATTCTTCAATAACTATTAGATGTAAATGATAATGGGGCACCGAGTAAAACAATCATGATGCAGAGAAATTAGGTGGTCTGGTGATTAGACCTTCAAGGTTGCTCGAAAATGGTTCAACAGGGTTACGGCGGGCTATATTCATGGGGTTACAGACTTGAACACAATTCCCTTTGGAAAGCTTACAATAACAACACGACACCTTCGAATATAAGGCCTTCACCCATATCAAGACATGGACTCAGCTTTGGCGACCCGGAACGATGTGGATAAGTCAAAAAAAAAAAAAAAAAAAAAAAAAAAA